AGGGTGCGAGAGAGACAGAGCGACGAATCAAGCGTGCACGCACATGTGTGGCTGCACTTGGCAGGTGATCTCGGCACCCATCGACACACTCACTCGCTCCCAAGCCGGCGTCCCAGTCGGACGAAGTCTGGCGGTCGCGAAAGTCCTGTCCGAGAACTTGAACACTGCTTGCGGCCGCTTCGTGGCCCGCTGCGTACCGCTGCGTACCCAGGCGACGCCCTCTGTGACTTTTAATTTCCAGTGTGAGCTCGTTAGTCTTTATTACGAGCCCCCTGCCTCCGTTTCTCGCCCCACTCTTGTTATAATAGTCGCGTGCGGGCACTGTAAAAACGGACAAAAGGATCGACCAAAAGTTTACATCTGGTCATAACTTTATTGTACCAAATTTAATTATAATTTTTTTCTTTTTTCTTTTACGTATTCATAATTTTGGATAACTGAACTGTTTGAAACCCCCTTACAATTTTCTGTATCGCCTTCTGAGAAGGCCCCCCAAGCGGTTTTCAATAAGGGTAATGGCTCAATTTTTGAAATGTCTTCCTGCGGACGTCTGAACTAAAGCTGTCTTCTCATGCTCTCTCCTGTCCACAGTTGGTGCGACCAACGTCTCCGCCACAGGAAGCGGGCACTTGGCGAAACGAAATGCCGCCATGCCGCCATCCCGCATTCGCGGTGCAGAAGTGGCATCCGCGACCGCGCGGCTTCCTGCCCCCAGAGAGAGCTGAGCGCCACGCGACGAGCCGGGGTTCGAATCCCCGCCCTCCGCGACGCTTTTTTTCGTGCTTTACGGTGGTCCGTTACGTGAATTTTGAACGCGGCGCGCCAATCCAAAACCGCAGACTAGGCAAGGTAATTCGATCGGGGCCACCGGAAAGCCAAACCATAGACCAAGGACCTGAGCATCGGCACACAGTGGGCCAGAAGGCCGGTGGAGGCGGACAAAACTCAAGACGCGTTTTGAGCTCCAGAGTCGCTAAAGGGGTCTCGAATCGAGCGTGTGACCCCACCAATGGATTGCTCTCCGAACGAGGAATCCATTGGTGGGGTCACACGTTCGGTTCGAGGCCTGTCTAACGACTCTGGAGCTCAAAACGCGTCTAGAGTTTTGTCCGCCTCCACCGGCCTTCTGGCCCACTGTGCGGCAGCTTGTTGCGGCCTCGCGAGGGAAGCCTGGCGGAAGCCCAGCCACGGCCTGCTCCGCTTTGAAGCGCACCTTTCCCAAATCAAACAATCGCACTTCGACCTGTATCCATTCGACGGCCACACAAGTGCGCGTGCGGGGGGACTCGGGGGCCGAGACAGCTGCACATCCCAATGCTTCCGTGTTACCAAGTTTGCCAACTCGGCCATTTTCGCACCGCTGCATGCAGGCCTTTCCAAGAAACAACGATGTTCCCGAGCCGTCAAGTTGTCATCCCATAAATGACTTATTAAATCCTTGCTGCACTCTTTCGCTGTGATGAGAGCACAGTGGCATCCTGTACACTGTCCTGGACACATGCGAAACAGGGTGGACCCACTGTCGGCCCACTTCGGCCTTTGTCATGTGCGGACAAACGAGCTTGTCAGAAGCCTGTCATGGACCGGACTGGACACCGACCAAGCAGACCAAGCCGTGGCTGCCGTGGCCACTGACCCAAACAGTCAGGCAGTGTTTACTCTGTTGAAATGAAGTCTCGCACGTCCAAACAACGAGCAGCCAAGCGGGCTCAAGTTTTTCATGAGCTTTTTGTCGTTTCCTCATCCGGCCGAGAGCGTCGCCAGGATTTAAATAACATGGAAAGGGGGGGGGGGGCTGCAGGGAGGGGTCCAGGTGCACCCACACTGGAGTGGGGTGGGGTAGGTTGGGGTCGCCGCGCCAGCCTCGTCGACAGATGCGCCGCCGGCACCGCCAGGCACAGCCCCACGTCCGGAGTCCGGAGATCGGAGAGGCTTTTCTCCGCTCTGCCTTTACCAGCCTTTACGCCCCGACGGCGCCGGCACCGCCCGCGCGGCCCCGCACCGCCCCCGTCCGCGCTGACAAGGTGACAGAGCCGCGCGCGCTGGGGGCGGACAAGACAACCGAGGTCCTTCGGGGAAACACCCTGATGGATGATCAGCCCCTGTCGCGCCGAAATGATAATTTTCTGGCCGCCGCACTGACCGACAAGACGGCCAATATCCACTCCGCGCGCGCGCTCCGCCTCCAGAGAGGCAAACAAAAGTCTCTCTTCCGGGACTTTGCAACATGTGGCCGTCCCTTTCAAGTCCTCAAAGTCCTCCAAGAACAATGATAGGGCGGTGCAGGAGCTGCTCCCCCCCCCCCTCCTTTTCCCCTCCTGACGCAGTGCGTGGGAACAGGACTGGAAGCTGATGTGCATCTGCATGGAGAACGCCGAGGGCCTCGCAAAACAGCAGCAGGCTGGCAGGACGAAGCCAACGCCCGCCAGCGTCACCACGCCGACAAGGGAACCCACTCAGCGACGAGAAAAAAGCAAAGAGTCATGAGGGCCATAACTCCGAGTAGCTCTTTAGGGGGCAGCAGTTTTCCGAGCCAGCGGCGACAAGTACGATCATCAGAACCACGACTTGGGCCTTCGGGGCCGGGGAGGAGCGCCTTCCATCCTTCCTGTGCACAAAATAAGCGCAGACAGCCCACGGAACCCAAACACCGCACTCATCCTCGAGAGGAGACGGATCCGCTCGCTTCGCGCCCTTCGCCTTCGGGCGGCCGTTCTGCATTTACTTTGATGAAATGTGAAAGCGCATTGTTCGGCCGGGCGTGTGGCGCGGTGTTTTCAGTTTTCCATGTGATTCCTTGAACCGCCCCAGCCGGCCGGCCGGGCCCTGGCCTGGAAGCATGCTGGAGGCCCGGCACCTGGCACGAAGACCCGGAGAAAGATTCTCACCGTGCGGGCCCCGGCCGGCTGTGCCTCGCCCCGCCTCGCCCTGCGTGCTGTCAACGTCAACGCGCGACGCCACGCAAACACGCTCACGCGCCGCGAGGGGAAAGGTGGTCGGATCTAATACTGCCCCATCCAGCTGGGATCATTAGCACCTGGTGCGGCCAAGCTGTTCATCAAGCAGGCCTCCGTCCTCGTAGTGTGGTTCCCCGATAGAGCCTCCCAGTGTCCCATCCAACGGTGCCTCCCGAAAACGGCGAGGTCCTTCGCGAACGAACACGGCCGCTATTCATCGGATCGGCCCCGAACGGCTCGACGGCCCGAACGGAACACATGTCGCTTCGGCTGCTTCGCCCTCTCGACCTCCGCGATCTGCCGGCTGCGCTGCGCCACATTCCCAAACAGCCAAACTCTTGTGTGCGCGTGTACCCTGCGCGACCCACAGTGCACGACCCTGCGCCTCGCGACCGCCGAGCCGCCCCGCCCAGAAGTTTCTTTTCAAACTCGTCTTTTTTTTGTTTCGTGCAATTCAACACCCACACAATCCCTGTGACCGACCGCTGCCTGCCTGCAGGTCCAGCTCCCCCCCCCTTTTCTTTCCACAGTTCTTGGAGGGCCTACCCCCTCATCCTCCCACGACGCGACAGACCCGTCGTTGCAAGGTTCAGGGTTCAGTTCGTTGCTCTGGCTGGGTTCAGCAAAACCAGTGGTGAGGCACTGGAGTCCCGTTCAGTCCCAACACCGTCGCGCACGCGCGTGTTCTGTTTCTGTTTCTGGTTTTTGGAACTGCGTTGCGAGGTAGCGAGTGAGGCTTCCCCCTCCTCTGCCGCCGGATGGGACGGGACGGGTCCGTAGCGGTGACCGTGAACTTCGTGCGGTATGCTGCGTTCCGCGGACTAGCCAGCCAGCACGCCCGACCACCTGTTTCCTCCCCCACAACAACGCCGTCACAACGCCCGGAGCGTGGCCGGCCCGCACGCCCTCGCCCCGTCCGTCGCTCTGGCTCGCTCGCACCCCCGCGGCACGCCCCATGAGTGCGAGAGAGACAGAGCGACGAATCGGTCCACGGAATCAGGCGGCTGCAGGCCGGGCGGCCTACCTCCGCGGGCGCAGCGAGGCGCGGCGGCTCCGTTGCGCTTGGTGCCAACAGCAGTGCCAGCACAAGACGAAATGTTTCTCCATTCGCCAACTGGGACAACGTCCTGGCTGCGCCGCTTGCCTGCGACTCTACACGACGGGGCTGCGTCCGCGACGAGTCCTGCACAATGCCCTTATCGAGGGGGCTGCGGGCGACGCGCCTCGCGCCTCGCGCCTCGCACGCAGCCGCGGCCGATAACGCATGCACCGCGCGCCGCCAGGCCCGCCAGGCACTACATCCTCGAGCCGGCTGTGCATTGTTCATTTAAAATGGAGCGCCCTGCCGGCCTCCGGGCCTCACGGCTCACAGTGTGCCACACTCGGCCCTTGTCGAACCGGCGACGCCGTGTCAAGGTGCGGCGAGGCACGCGAAGCTGGCCAACACCGCTTGCTACCGGTCCGCCCACGCAGGGCGGCGGGTACGCCGCGGTGCTGCTGCTGCAGACTTGTTCCGAGAGTCGTCTTCGCAGCCCTGTCTCTCTCGCACCTATACGGGACGGCCCATGAGAGCGAGAGAGACAGAGAGAGCGACGAGAACGACTCTCGGAATGAGACTGCCACTGCAGCCCAGAGGCCCAACCTCGCGTGAAGCGTGAATCACTGGGCCGAAAGGCCAATCGGGTTCGTCCCTTGCCGCGCTTGCTGCCACTGCCAGACGTTCGGAATGTTGTCGAGGATGTCCAGGAGCACCGCCTGTGCCTGCACTGCCTGCACATGCACGCCCGGAGGGAGCACCCTTGGAGGAATTGCTCCACTAGGGACGCTCGCATACGCTCAGAAAATGATAACTCAGCGCAGCGGATTTATAGGACTGTATTGTGATACTAAGGTACGCAAAAAATTACTAGAAAATTTACACAAAAAACCCCCATCGTTTCCATTGAATTAGAATATGAGTCATCCTGAGCAATTTGAGATCGAGATGTGCATCCTGATTTCTGACTTCCTTCTCTTTTCGAAGGATTTGGTAGTGACACCAACCTTATGTTCCGCGCAAACTCCAGGTTGAGGCGAAGATTAGCTGCTTCACAGGCGAGGTCCTTTCGAAGCACTCAGTAACTCCTCCTAGTGACGTCTTGTCATCGCTTTCCCGCGGGAGTCACAGTCGATTCTCTCTACGAGCTCCCTTGGGCTCCCCTGGGCAATGGCATGCCCGTCACGGGCAATCCGCTTCGCAATAAGACAGGACCGATCGCGTCACATGCACTTTGAGGGAACGACTTGGCACGACACCGCGGTTGTCGTTGTCAAGAGCGCGCACATCCGTACGTCCGCGCGCCCAGAATGAAAAGTCCACACTGCCTGCCTCCGCCTCCGCCACATTTCGTTTCGTTTCGCTCCCGCCGCCCCGTGTGCTTCGGCTCGGCTTCGGCAAGCTTCGGCTCGGGTTCGGCTTCCGCTCGGGTTCCACTCGACTGCAAATAACGCGTCGTCGTGCGCATAGATAGGAAGGGCGATAGGGGGATCCCACAGGTTCTTTCTGCTCCGCTCTTCTTTCTGCTAGCTTTTTAATTCAATTTACTTGTGATAGAGTCCCCAGGATGACGACCGCAGATTTTAAAAACTGCGTTGAACTTATGGCGCCCCATATACGAGACATAGCTGGCATGGTCAAATCGTGTGAGAAGGTGATTGCCTCCAAACGGCGTTGTAGCCTTATACAGAACTTTCAAGAGCTTGTGATGATACTGGTCAGAAGACTTTTCGTGGATCCTGATGATGAATCGACCTGGGCTAATCTAAACGATTTGTGCATCAAGTATGGGGGACAACCATTTTACACACCCAAATCCTCAACACATTTGAGTGCTCAGAATTTACAACAGCAAAGAGTTTCACCTCTTCATTCGAATGGTATGTAACAGAAAGACGTTTCTTCAACATTTTGGCAATAAATGTTGTTTTATTCTCTATCCAGGGTTTCTAACACCTGCTGCAGAACTTTGTAAAATATTCAATGATCATTTATTTTTCAGTCTCACATGGAGCTCCTGATCTCCTTGATCCGAATGGTCTGTGCAACGCTTTGACTGTTGACTTTAAAATGTTGATTGTCTTGTATCAAGTTTCCCTTTTCTTTTGCAGGGGACATTGTAAACTATCTCTCTGAAAATATCCGCTACTCTTGGAGAAATTTTGCCAGAGGCCTTAAAGTTAAGGGAGGAACCATAGATAAAATAGAAATGACTTGTGGAAGTGATGATCATGAAGCTTGCATGAGAGCGGTAAGATCCAAGATGAGCCTGAGCTATCTAGATTAATTCATTTCAATCGGTTTTAGAATTGTATCTTTCTTTCTACAGGTTTTGGCTGATTATAAGAAAAACAAAAAATGGGCATCTGAATCAAATGGAGATGTTCTAAAAGATATTTATCAGGCCTTGACCTTGCTTCAGAAGGAATACCTCCTCAAAGAATTTCAAAGACTGACTGGAAGGTTTTCATAAAAGAATTAAGAAGAGTTGTACTTTTGCATTTATGATTTTATTTTTACAATGCATCATTTTTAATTAAACACACTGTTTCATTTTCCTGATTCAACCAATTGAACATGATTATCATTTGTAACAATTTAACTGCAGCACCAAACATTAACATACAACACTCAACATCTATATGTAACTTTTACCTAGTGACTTCAAAGCTAAAGAAAAATAATGTGATTTTAGAGTACATTAGAGCAGGGCAACAAGTTAGTTAGTTGCTCAAAAGGCACATGAGGTATTTCTAACATGATGAACTAACTAGGCCAAATCCAAAAAAGAAAAGGGACCAATCTCACCCCCACACAAAAACAATAAAGGAGGAATTAACACATTATGTGACTAAAACAGGAAAATAAGGAAAAGAGCTAAAAGATCACATATGTATAAAACCCTAATCTTATGACTGGTAGCAATTTTTCAACACATTACACCTAAAATCCAAACATAAAAATGCAAACCAAGAACATGAGGAATTAAGATAAACATATCTTAAACGAAAATTTAAAGTTGCAAGTCTATATGAAAATTGCCAGTCTTTGAAGGTTACCTAATTAAGTTGACCCTTACATGCTGGTGGGTAACAAATATATATAGGTATATGAACATTTGTTAGTTAAAATTCATACATTAAATTCAAATTGAAACAGAGGATCAATGTGAGTGACCAACATTTAACAGTGAACAAAGATTTTACAGATACATTACCAAAATTAAAACAGTAAACACCAAATTAAAAGAGTCAAAGAGTTATCTAAACATAAACAACCAGATTGACAATAAAAGTTCTTCTGACATAAAATGATTGGCACCCTTCTGCATAACTAAAATTACAACAACAAGAATTTTGAAAAGCTGTTACTCCAACAGCAAACTCCATAAATGTCATGAAGAGAAGGGCCTCTTTGCTTGCTTGAAATGAAAAGATGGCTTGTCTAGACTGTGGTTGTGGATTTCCAAATTAAACATTGTAACAGTTTTTGGTTACTGATCCTGTCTTCACCATAGTATCCTTGTGCATTTGGTAGCCAAGATGCCAGTCACGGCCAAGGTTAAGTCGCTCTTTCAGTCGTCGCCTGTAACACACAGACACCAGAAATTAACTCAGGCTTGAAAAGTAACATTCAATGAAGTTTCACAAAATGCTGTGAGAGTTCCTCTTACCCGATTTCCAGTACTGTAACTGAATTCTGTCCGTTTCCTGTCCAAACAGCTATCTTGTCTACTTTTGCTCTTACATTTACTACAGCTCCACAGATATCCTCACTATGTTCATCGAAGGCTTCTCCAACCATGCATAATAGCTGCAAGGAGAAAAGTTCAAAAGCCTGTATCTTTTAAAACAAGTTAAGTTAGACAGGGAGTCAAGACAATACATACTATTTCCAACCAAAAGCGATCAAGGTCAGTCTCTCGTTGTTTACGATCTAAATTGAAGAGCCAGCGTCCACCAGCTCTATTGGCTTTGTCCTCCCACATGGGCATAACTCCTTTTTTAAAAAGTGAGTAATCGCAACCCATGCGAAGCTGACTTGGTAGTTTAATGTGATTATAAAGGCTGTAAGTTTAAATACAATAAAATTAATGGAGAGCGAAATCAGAACAAACAGCAGACATTCAACAATGTGATTCAAAATGACATTATACTTACAGATAATACTGAGTGGCTTACCTCCAAAAGTCTTCTACCGTATTGAAGCTTGTGATTTCACGTTGGTTGTCTTCCCAACTCTTGTTATTGTTTTTTTCAAAATACCACAGAGTCCAAGTACTGTGAAGAGGATGTTTAATCAATAAATCATTGTCAATCGGCTCCGGCGCAGTGATTTCATCGTCCTGGAATTTGAAAAATAAGAGCCATGTACGATTGTTTCTATGGAACAGATTGAGACCGCATCAGAAGCAGTGGAATGGAATAATTGAAAGCACAAATTTAAAGATGCAAGGAATGCCTGAGTAAATATTAACAGGAATATAAAGGGATAGATGAAAATTGCTTTGCTTCAACTACCAGCCAGGCACACTTAAGGCACGCAGATTTAGACGTCATATTTCTTGTTTAGAACACAACCATCATTTGTGTCAGTAAACTGACGTGGGTTTAAATAATAATGAGATACAACAATACATATCAATTCGGACTAACCACTGGCTAACTCCGGCTGAAAGCATATGGACATTGCTAGGTTATGGGTATGACTATCACCCTGGAGATTTATAGTGCAATTATCAACTCGCACACTAAGAGCCTTAGCCTAAATCTTACCTTCCTTTCATCCACGCTCACATCAGCCATTTCTTAGTATTTTCTGACCAAATTTTACAGAAAATCTGAGTTTAGAGATTATCAGCCGTGCTGAATCCGAATTCTGATATTGAAATTTCGGGAAGAGGGGTGGGGGGAGGGGTAGACAAAAGTGATTGACATTCACATTCGCATTTCAATGTTTTCAACAAAACAAACTAAAGAGGATCAAGTATTCAAGTATCAGCGCGTTGAGGAAATAAGGAGGTTTTCCGGAATGAAAATCCACTGAAGTAAGTGATGTTTCTGGTTCGTACTAAGCTATCTTTGGCTTGGTTCAGAGGCTCGAACATTGTAAACAAAAATAAGAGGAGTGCTTGTGTTGGCAACAGTAAATAGTCAGAAAACAGGCGGACAAATGTTCCAAATGTTCGTTATATCTGTTCAATTTGTTTGAAACTTCATTATTCATTTCTGTGTTGATTTAATGTTCAAGGTACCGTCCCTTTTGTGCTTTACATGCGATACTGTTCGTCTACTTTACTACTGCAGTCATGCTGTTAAGTCTTGCTTACAACGATGGCTTTTACTGACAAGGGTCCAGCTGATCTTATAACCTTTCTGTTTACAGATGAACCTCTAGTTTATTGAGAAATCAACCATGGCTCTGCTTGAAAGATGCACAACTTCATCACAGAAGGCTGCTGCGCCCATGAAAAAACTAGTTATTCTTCAAATAGTACCCCCAAAGCAGGGGAGTGAAACCCCTACCGAAGTAAAACGTGAACCTGTCACACATAGAGCTGTGGAGTTGACTGGATGCGATATTTGCCATTCGTATTTTGAGTCCACTGAAACCTTGAGTGAACATCGCAAATCTGTGCATGATGAGGGCCCTTCAGCTTCGAAGGATCTCACTGCCACACTGTCCAAACGTCAACCCAAGTGCAACATATGCAACGCTTTTTTCATGACGAAAAGTAACTTGTTGCGGCACCTAAATAATGTGCATGCCATGCAAGTGTCAAAGGCGTCAAAAAACAGCGAAGACTCCCTAAAGTGTGGCAAGTGTTCAGATGTGTTTGTGACCAAGGATGAATTGACTAAGCACCTTGAGGAAGAACATGGTATTGATGGGAGAACTGAGTATAAAGACCCATATGAGTGTGAGCTGTGTCATGAGACTTTTAGCTTCAGTAACCAATTAATATTACATCTCAGGGATGAACATCAAAAAGACGCTCAGGGCAGAGAGATTATAGTTAAACAAGTTGACGGGAAACGTATGATCCAATGTGATATATGTGACAATGCATATTCCAACAGACAAGGTCTCTACCGGCATCGCAGAGTTGCCCACAAAATTGGTGGTCCTGACAAAGGAGTTTGTCATCGTTGTGGTATTGCATGCTCACTGAACAATTTAGCAGCACACATAAGGACTTGCGGCAGTAAAAATAAACCTCTAAGAAGAAGGCAAGACTGTTGTGTTGAAAATTGTGGTGCATCATTCTACAAAAAAGAGCATCTCATTGGCCATTTCAAAAATGTTCATGGGCTGAAGGTTGAGCCCATGCGAACTATGAAGTTTAAAAATGTGGAAGAATTCAAATCCTGGAAATTGGATGAGGAGGATCGAACTTATTCCTATTTTTCTAAACATGCTGGCACTAAGACAAATCAATCAACCTACTACTGTCAGCGCGAAGGAACAGCAAAATCCCACAGAAGCGCCACTGATAGACATGAAGTAATTAGAAGAAATAAGAAAGGAAGAGTCAAGACAGGTAATGTGTGTACAGCTTACCTACGAGTGAATGCTGGAGAAGACGGGGTAATTGCGTATTATTGGCCCACTCATAATCATCCCTTGTCACCTGATGATGTAAAACACCAGCCAATGTCTTCTGAAATTATCAAGTTCATTAAGGAACAGATTGCTTTAAATGTGCCAAATAGACAAATTCAGGCAATGGTGAAGAAGAGGAATGCTGAAAACCCTACCACCCGCAGAGATGCCCAGATATCATTGAAGAGGATCACTTCTTTGTCACAAAGGTACCATCGTCAATTGGCCAAAGAAGGTAGTACACAAGCTCCTGCGGAGACCTTTACCTCGTTCATCGAAGCGCTAGCTGCCCAAGAGGACTCTCCAGTGTTGTTCTATCAACCACCAAGTGAAGAAGCTTGTCTTGGACTCCCTAACAATGAGGAGCATTTATTTTTTGTTGCTCTTCAAACCTCTGACCAACAGAAAATGTTGCAGAGAGGTATTGCCATGCCAATGTTCATTAGTTGTGCCAAGGCTGACTACACTTTCGGATACTACTTGATCTCCATACTTGTGCCGTGTGAGAGAAATTTTGAATACCCTGTTGCACACTTGATGACTAGTCAGCTGAATGATGAAGTGATTTGCTTTTTCCTACAGACTATTGGTGAGAGGTGCCCTGAGCTCAATGTAAATTGTATTGTGTCTATAGACTGTCCAGAAATCAATAGTGCAATAAGAAAAGTTTTTGGAGACGATGGTCCATATTTCCTAAGCAAGTGGCATTTTCTTGAATTCATGCGGAATGAATTTCTGAAAGAAGTTCCCTCTAACAAAGTGGAAGAGATTTTTGACTTCATCCTAGCCATGGCAGATGCAGAGACTGAGGATAGGTTTCTGCTTCTTTATAATACTTTAAAAGAGCAGTATGAACCAGACTTCCCCAATGTTACATCAGATTTTGCAGAATATTTTGTAAAAGCTGGAACATGGGCCAGTTGCTATCGGCAGGGGCCAGGAATCATAGACAGTTGCATGTATGCTGATTCTTTTTTTAACAAGCTCAACAAGAAGTATCGGCGGAGGCCTATCAAAAGCATCAATGTGGTGCCAGATTTATTACTTTATTTGCAGGAAGGTTACAGGGAGAGGAGGGAGAACCAAGAGTCAAACTTGGAAAATGAAATTAGTCTTGTAGCAGAGCAGCATCAATTGTCTTTAGAAATACCATCAGATTTAGTACAAGAAACCCTTTCACATCACTGGACAGTGCAAAACTCTAAACATGCGCAGGCCTTTTTAGTCATGCTATGTGCTCCAAAGTGTGTGGAAAGTGATTGCCAGATAAAATGTGATGATTGTGTAAATTTGTGCAGCCATAGGTATTTTTGTAACTGTGGAAGGTCTGAGACTATCTGTTGCCATATCCACAAAGTGCATCAGCAATATGGACATTTCATAGAAACAGAATGTGTACAGCAAGATTCAGAAGAAACTGCGATGGATGCCTGTTCAGAAGCTGTAAATGTTATCATAGAGCATGGTGAAGATGCAGACGATGGTTCGTATTCCGCTCCATGTTCCCCGACAAATTATGAACCGGAGGTGACAGATGAGGAAACTTTGGGAGCTGTTTCAAAACAGTTACAAAACAAAGTTACAAAACAATTAGAAGATCTCAAAACAAAACTGGAAAGTGCTCCTGTAGAAATGCTGCATGTTATACAGAGCACTCTTGAAAGTCTTAATACTCTGTTGGAGAGTGGATCATCCACTGGAGTCTGATTTGGGTTTGTTTCCAAAATATATGAATAAACAAGTTTTTCTATTTCTTTTCTGTAATCTGTTGTGTTATTTGAATTGTTTTGCCTTACCAACTTAGAATTACATATGTATTAAACATGTTTTGAATGCTTACTTCTGCAAAAGGAATTTACAATAGGTGCTACATACTGTTAGGTTCAGATAATCAGGGCAGAAGAAGCGATCATGTCTGAACAGAGAGTTGCGCCACTACTAAAAGAATCAAAATTAATGAGTGATAAATCTTGGAGTGATTCTGATTTTGACGATTTATCACCCACACCACTCCTCTGTTCAAACACGCACAAATTCACTTATCCGCAAAATCCTCTCCCTAGTAATGGAGGAGGAAGCTGGTACGCCCTAGAGCCCAGGAGGTAGGCAACCCAACTGACGCCACTCGCACAACACGCGAGTTAGTTGGGATGCCAGCAACGCGCAGTCACCAAACAGATGACATACTTCGCGCCAAAATTCAAATTCTATTCACACCGGGTAAACACTGTTCGCTGCAAAGACCGGCACTGAGCTCCATCCCCCAGGCGTGTGGCGTGTGGATCGGGACATCATGAACTTAAATTGGAAATCAAGATAACCCGTCCCTGGATCCGCCCATGTCAACACTTCTACAATGCTCAAAATGTTGGTTTTTTTTACTTTCGTAATGATGGCGCCCGGTGGGGATGCCGGTCCGGTCCGGTCGGGCCCCAGAGAGCCAGAGCCGCCAGAGCCTACACAGCAAGCCCGAGCGGAGCGGGCGGCGGCGCGAGCGGCGCGCAGCAGCACATGTCAGGAGCAGGCCGAGGCTGGCCGAGGCGAGGCAGGGGCACCAGGCACTAGGCCGCCTGGCCACGGGGCTGAAACACGTCGCGGGCCTCTCACCGCGTAGCACCGCGCACCGCCTCGTACTCGCTACTCGCGCGGTGCAGCGGCACCAGCAGGACGCACCTCGCACCGTGCCGCACCGGGGCCACCGCGATCATCGCCGTGCCAACCGTCGACGCCCTCGACTCGCGACTCGGACAGTTCGACTCGGTGCAGTTCGGCGTTGTGACCCGCGGCCCGGCCAGTGTCGACCGGGCGGCGTGCAGCTCGTCCTGGAGTACCTCGACGACGAGGACCTCGGCGCGTTGCGGCGGAAGGCCACGGAGGGCTCGGCGGGTGAGTACTGCCGCGAAAATGGTCCAGCACACTGATTCCGAGAGTCGGTTTCGTCGCTCTGTCTCTCTCGCACTCGTGGGGCGTCCCGTATAGGCGCGAGAGAGACAGAGCGACGAAAAAGGACGACGTCGGGGGTCGGCGGCCGGAGCCGGAGTGCCCCCGTTGTGCTGGTTGTCGTGGTGTAGGGACAAGCCTTGGGTAAAGTAGCCCGCCGCCGCCGTTTAGCGCCAACGGCTGCCAACGGCCCGCCGTACCACCATGGTACCACCAGCGCAGAGTCCGAGCAGTGCTTCGTCGCCCTGTCTTCCTCGCACCCCTACGACCCTACGGGGCGCCCCGTGAGTGCGAGAGAGACAGAGCGACGAGCCCTGTGGGGAAGCAGCCCGCTGGGAGTACACGGTGATTAATTTATCGCACGGCGGCGCGTGTGTTGCCGCTTCGGCCGCAACGGCCGCTTCGGCGAGATCGGATTCCCGCCATCCCATTACCCATTACGCAGGGCGCGCGGTAGGGTGCTTGCCAGAGGCCAGAGGAATTGGCTCCTAGTGCTGGGGAGGGGAGTTTTGCATGCGTACCTGGAGAAATTATTTTTCAAAAAACTCACGCGACGGTACTTTACATGTTGTTTAATACGGATAGCCGCTCGGCAGGACGTTTTGCAAATGTTCGGAGTGACATCGCGGAATCGACACCCGGTTCCGTGCCCAGCATAGCAATGAGCGCCGCACGCCGCCAGGGCACGCCACGCGCCGCAACGCAGCAGACTCATTCCGAGAGTCGTTTCGTCGCTCTGGCTCTCTCGCACCTATACGGGCCGCCCCATGAGTGCGAGAGAGACACAGCGACGAAGACGACCCTCGGAATCAGTCTGCGGAGGCTTCGACCCCGATTAATAACCCGCATTACACATCCCGTTTCGCCAAGACTCCGCCAAGACCCAGACCGCACTGACACGTCTCCAAATCCAGAATCACGCGCGCCTCTGTTTGTCTGCTCCGAAGCCTGCCGGACTTGCAGTGTGTCTCCGAGGAATCGTCTCGTCGCTCTGTCTCTGTCGCACTCGTGGGGCGTCGCGCAGGGGTAGCAGCGCGAGAGACAGAGCGGAGACGCGATTCTTGGGAGTGAGCCGGCTGGCGCGGCACGGCGCGGGTGGACCAGGACGTCGTCGTCGCGTGTTTGCACTTACAGTGTGGGACCGACCGGACCGCGCAGGCCTCGCAGGCCAGTAGACCGATTCCGAGAGTCGCTTTCGTCGCTGTCTCTCTCGCACCCACACGGTACGCCCCATGAGTGCGAGAGAGACAGAGCGACGAAAGCGACTCTCGGAATCGGTCTGCAGCAGGGCAAGCAGGGCCAGCTCGAGGACTCGCCGTGCGGGCCCTTCGCAGGTGTGTGCGTACACTGGTACACACAGCGAGCGTCTATACACGCCAACCGGCCATGTAACTCACTGCCTCTGCAAACACCGCGGACCGCGCCGCCTCCAACTATTCACACACTCACACAGTGTAGTGCCGTGTGGCCGCGGGGCGGGCCCTGGGCCGGGCCCCTGCCGACGGCAACCTGCGTGGACGCAGCGCAGGGCTGCACGCGTGCTGCCTACCTGCGCGGCGCTTGCCCAAGTCTGCCATTGATAGACGCAGAACGAAAAGAAGAGAAGAAAGAAAACAGCAACAGGCGGAAACGGGTTCAAACAAATCGCCGCCTTCCTTCCGTCTCCCCGACGCGCGTCCTTGTACTCGCAAGCCCCCCTCCCCTCCCCCGTGCTTTCCCCTCGTTGAGTACACAAGCAGGCAAGGCGAAGCAAGGCGCTACAAAGTCGGGCCCCGAGGAAGCGCCCGAGAAGCTGAAAGACGAAAGCTCGTTTGCTTGCGTGGGCCGAGCCCTGCCCTAGCCGCGCTGCAGACCGAGATCCTGTCTCTCTCGCACCCCTGCGGCACGCCCCGCGGCACGCCGGCACGCCCCGCGAGTGCGAGAGAGACAGAGCGACGGAAAGCTCTCTTCGGAATCAGCCCGCTGATACGCCGAAGCGCTAATGGTGTACTAGTCCGGCCGCGCCTTCGTGCCTGCTCAACAAAAAGGGGCAGCGAGCGGTACTGCACCGACATGCCCTCCGTTACTAGAGAGGGAAATAGAAATTGAGCTTCATCATTTCGGAGTTCCCACGTTGCCAATTCTTCGATGCATGACAATGTGCCATCCACGGACACGTGATACTTTTGTTAGCACTCTCTGCACTGTGGCAAAAAGGTACGGAAAATCCTGTTAATTTTTTTGCCAGGATTCTCCGTAGCCCTCTTATCAATATTCTCCGTAGGCTCTTACAGTATTCTCCGTAGGGCCGCACAGTATTCTCTGTAAATCCGCACAGTCTTCTCCGTAGGACCTCGAAGACTGTATAGTCCTACGGAGATCACTGTGCGGTCCTACGGAGAATACTGTGCGGTCCTACAGAAAATACTGTAAGAGCCTACGGAGAATATTGATAAGGGGCCTACGGAGAATTACCACAAGCTGTTTACAGAATTTTCCGTAGCTTTTTGCCACAGTGTGCTGAAATCTGTCCGCCTTCGGCGGGCGATGCGTTTTTGGCACACTGAGAAAAATGATTGAATGGTGGCATGAAATCTTTGATTCCCAGCATTAAATGTCGATTAACCAGTCCACTTTTTGGTGGAAATCAAATACTTCGATCTCGATGGTCAAAGTTTTTTACTGCAGGCCTTAAACGCTCATGGTGCCATAATCAATCGTGATCAATGCACACGCCTAAAGAAGATCGGTTTCCGTAATTGATTTCCGATTCATCTCCGTGACCAAACAGGTTCCACAGCCGATATTTGCAGTCAAAGAGACTTGCGGGAATGACGTCACATGCCGTCTCAACACACACTGTTTCTTCTCGCCTCTACCCAGTTGTCACGGTAGCTCAGTTGGATCCGTGCCTGGAGGCTGGATGGTAAACCGAGATCGTCCGGGGTTCGATTCCCGGTCGGTGCGTAACCAGTTTTCCCTTGCACAGTTCATCGGAAACTGTTTACAGCTTATTACTAGCAAGGGAATGGACTGCGGGTATCAAATACCGGCGGGAAAGGGATTGCTCTGTGACATTTTTACAAAATTTAGACAGATGATTTGCTTTGGGAACCAATTGAACGTTTGAGCACAGTAACGGATCAATTCTTTGACACACATTGAACTTGATTTAAGGTCGTCGTGCATCGAATGAATTATGGTGTTGAAAGTAGTTTGAGGGCTGGAACCAAACACGCTGATCAAACTGCTTTGAGTATCTCCATCAAAGGTTTGACCAGTTCTATTTTCATTGAAGTGTTCTAGCCTGGGAGTCAAAGTTTTCATCCCATGAGTCAATCATTTTTCTCAGTGCAGGCCGGCATGGCGGACCCGCATCGGCCATCGGCCATCAAGGCGAAGTGCGGATGGGTCCCGCCTGCGGCCTGCCTGATCCCTGCGGCCACAGCCCCGGCCCGGCCCGGCGGTCTGGCCCAACAGCGAACAGCGTCTCTCTCTCTCCCTCGCACCCTTACGGAGCGCCCCGTGAGCGCGACAGAGACAGAGCGACGAAGCGACTGGCTGGCCCGCTTGGGCTTTACGGCCGATAGGGCCGGACGCATAAAACGGGGTAAATATATAATGTCGCGATGTCGAGCCCTGCGGCCCTGCGCTTAGCCCCGCACTGCGCTTCCGCACGTCGCGCTGTTTCTGTCGCACTCGCGGGGCGTCCCGTATGGGTGCGAGAGAGACAGAGCGACCAAGCACTGCGCTTCCGCCCGTATTGATTTCGCGACCGTGTGACCGTGTTTCGGTTGCCGGACAGGCGGTGTGCTGCGTGTTGCAGGCGGCGTGCTCATTCCGAACAGGGCCGCTCTGTCTCTCTCGCACTCGCGAGGCGGGCCGGCGGGCCGCAGGGGAGTGCGAGAGAGACAGAGCGCCGACTGCAGGGTGGCGCCGCGAGCCCCGCCACACTGTGGAGGGTGGGGCGGTACTCGGCTCGTATAAAGGAGAGTGTCTTTATATGAGGCCGGTCGGTACTAGCTTGGCGCTTGGCGCCGTGGGGGATGATGATGACGAGGTCGGAGCGACGAATAAAAGTAATGCCTCGAGAAAAAAAAGCCAGTCGTCACTATTTCAAGAGTGAAAATTTGAAATCAAGTGGAACTCCTGCGGTTCGGCGCACTGTAGGTCAGTGTTACTCGAGTGCAGACGACGAAGGCATGTTTAAAAGTAGGGTTTGAAATCAAGTAGAACTCCTGCGGTTCGGCGCACTGTAGGTTAGGTCAGTGTTATTCGAGTGCACGAATGACGACGAAGGCATGTTTAAACCGGTAATTTAAAAGCCGTCATTTAAGGCGGAGGCGAGGCCGTGTTAGCCTAGGCGCTGCGCGCGCTGCGCGGGTCAGCGAAATACGACACTGTGCCGGCGTGATGGAGGCGATGGTCCTCGCGGTGCTGGCGGCGCCGGCGCGGTGCTCATTGTGTTAGTGCACTAGAGTCCCAGAGGCGGCAATGCCGGGCGATGCCGTCCCGACGGGGCTGCGCTGCACTGCAGACCGCCATGCCAGTGTGCCATGCGGCGTGGGCGGGCCAGGGCACTGTGAAGTACAGTGTGCCCGCCCCGCGGCGAGGCGGTGGCGCTGCGGTGGGGCCGGGCCGTCCCGAACGCTCCAAAACCCACGGGCACCTTTTGCGGAAAAAAACCCGGTCCTTTTTGACCCAGATCCCTGAGAGACGCGTTCTCGACAGGCGGTATGCTGAACGCAAAATTGGTGCCATCGAAGTGTCATGTGGAAAATTGAAAGCGAAATTGATCGCGAAATCGTTTTGAGTAATTCGCAGGAAGGAAGGAAGGGAGGGCGGGGCGTGCGATGCGAGGTGCGATGCGTCCTTGAGTCCTTGCGTGCGTCTCGCGTTTCGGAATGCCCTTTTTCCTGATTGGCCCACGCCCGCGCTTATGTAATTGATTTTAATTAGTCCATCTCGCACGCTATCTCTGTACACTGACCTTGCGCGCAGCCTGCCATGCCTCCCACCACGACATGCATGTGTGTTTTACATCCCAATATGCAGCAGCAGCAGCAGGCCAGCCGTCTGATTCCGAACATCGCTTTCGTCGCTCTGTCTCTCTCGCACTCACGGCGCGTTCCGCATCCGTGCGAGGGGACGGCGTCGTCTCCAGGTGGCGGCCACTGGGACTGGGGCGGGCGTGTCTCGGCCAGGTCTTCGCTTCACCTGGCCCGACCTGGCCGGCACAGCCAGGCAGAGCCGGCAGAGCCATCATGGGTCGTGTTCGAGGCGGTACGCCCTAGAGGAGGCGGGGCGGGCGGGGCGCGACCGCTGTGTTAGTTAGCATCGTCGGCATCGGTTAGCAGCAGACGGATTCCGAGAGTCGTTTTCGTCGCTCTGTCTTTCTCGCACCGATACGGCACGCCCCGTGAGTGCGGGAGAGACAGGGCGACGAAAACGACTCTCGGAATCAGTCGCTGCAGGGGGATCCATCCAAGCCATCCCGGCTCCATTGATCCGGAAGAATTATGCATCCGGTATACAGCTATGTCCGACCTGGTTCCACCGAGTGTGCCATCCCGAGCGGTGCTACTCGTCGCGCTCTGTCTCTCTCGCACTCGTGGGGCGTGCCGTGGGCGCGCGAGAGAGACAGAGCGAGCGACGAATGCACCGAATCGGACAACTATAACACTGCAGCCAGCCGCCGAGTAGTGTAAACACACCTGTTTTTATTTGACAGTGTGGTGAGGTGATGTAGCCTCGGGACAAGGAGCGGCTCTCTATTCGTCACAGCATCCTTGAGTGCGTGTGTGTAAGTGTGTGTGTGATCTCGCCCCCGTCTCGTCCCCGTCAAGCCGTTTCGACATTTCCTTCCTAGAAGCGCGCGGATTCGCGCCGCGCCAATTTTGAAGCGATAAGTGACGCGGCGGCGGGCGGTGCGCAAAAAGTCGCGCAGATTTCCTCAAGACCTCGCGCTGGGGCGCACACAGACACACTGAAACACACACAAACACACGCGCACACACACACACGGTGGCAAAGAGACTTATATCAGCTTTGATAAATAATCACTGTGTGGACAGTCCTCCAATGAGGTGCTGAACACACAAATACACATGCTCTCACACACACATGCAAACAGCCTCTCTCTCACACACACATGAGGAAAATGAATGGCCCGGCGAGAGGGAAATGTCACGGCCAGGGACAGCACCGCACCCAAGTTGGCGCGAAGGCTGCTTGTCCTTGCGTCGTTTCCGATTATCCTGGAAAATCGTCTCGGACACTCCTGTTCGGTGACGTGCTGTATGAATCGTTCTGGCAGAATCTGTTGCATGAAGCAGAGACTGAAATTGCTGGGATTGTGACCGCGCGACCTCGCAGCAGACGCCGACCGCTCTATTTTTGCAATAATTCTGTTTCAATCTGCGCGGCACGCAAAACACCCCTCCTCCTTTTTTCCTCTTCCGTTGTCCAACTTCTTTCTCCTCTTTCCCGCTGCGGATGGTAGAAGCCACGCTCCCGCCGTCACGGCTCAATTGCCTCTGATTTATTGACTGGGATGAGCGCCGAACATGAGAGGTGCATGTGTGTGTGCGTGAGTGTGTGTGTGTGTGTGCTTGCTCACGGTAATTCGGCTGGCCTTTTCCTCGCCGATGACGAATGTGCCCCCGCCCGTTCGGTGTGTGTGCTTCTGCTGCTTCTGCCCAGCTGCAGTCCGATGTGGATTTTGTTATTTCTGCAGGACCCCCCTTCTCCCTGGGGGTCGGTCGGTTCGCGTTCCCAGACGAGGACACGGTAGGACACGGCGGCCCGCGCGTCGACGCGAACCTCGTTTTGTTCTCCGTTTCCGCCGTCGCGTGAAATTGTCGGGACGTTTTAATCAGTCTCCCTTTCACCTTCGGGGCTCGGGGGCTTCGGGACCGCAGGACGGCGGGGTCTGGCGGCCGGTGCCCCAATCCCAGACCCAGCGCCCCCAGCGCGGCGTTCGAACGGCGCACTTACGAGTAATTTAAGCGCCGAGTCTCTGACGCCTTGGTCGATGACTAATTGCCCCGGACCACCCTGGCGGCCCAGGCGGCGCAAGCGGCCTGGCGCACAGTGGGCCAGAAGACCGGTGGAGCTGCTGTCCGCGGCACGCCGTCGTCGCCGTGGCCGAGGCCGTGCACGCGCATCACGGCCAGGGTTGGAATCCCGCGAGCCGTCATCGTCGGACACCTATCGCTTCTTCTCCTCCCGGCGGCTGGCGTTGAAGGAAGCCTGCAGCAGACTGGTTCCGAACAGAGCTTCGTCGCTCTGTCTCTCTCGCACTGACACCCCGTGCCGTAGAGGTGCGAGAGAGACAGATAGACGAAGTTCTGTTCGGAATCAGACTGCTCCCCCCTCTCCTTTTCCCCGCCGCATCTCTTTTAATTTCCTCGCCTCCAGCCCCGCGGCCAGGCCGGACCAGAAGACCGATTCCGAGAGTCGTTTTCGTCGCTCTGTCTTTCTCGGGACGCCACATGAGTGCGAGAGAGACAGAGCGACGAAACCGACTGTCGGGATCAGTCTGCAGCCGGCACGGTAGCCGTAATCCAATCACGCGGCCCACGCCCCCGACGGGGCTCTCCTCCTGCGCGGGGGGCGGCGGGGGGCCGAGTGTATATTATTTATAGCAAATGCACACTTTTGGTACAATTTTTGTTGTTGTTTCTCCGCGACGCGTGGCGCCTCGCGGAGGCCTTGAGCAGCGGCCGCCAAGGACGCGAAGTGCCGGCAAGGGAACGGAACAAACAGCAGCACTCTGCCGCGCCTGGCGCCGCCTCGCCCCGCCCCGCCCCGCCCCGCCCCCCAGCAGTGCAACATGTTTAGCGAGCGATACACGACGCGGGACCGCCGCCACCAGCAGGCTGCTTCGTTGCGCTGTCTCTCTCGCACCCATTCGGGACGCCACGTGAGTGCGAGAGAGACAGAGCGGCTAAAACGACTCTCGGGATCGGTGTGCAGCCGCCACGGTCAGCGGGAAAGGGACACCGCCGAGGAAGAGTGTTCGAGCAGGAGGGGTGGCGCGGCCTTGGGGGTTCGGCCGCGCGCGAGAGAGACAGACACTCTTCCTACCGCGAGTGCGGTGCGATGATCGCGGCACTAGGAGGGTCAATAGTTCATCAATGAAGCAAAGCAGCCAAGCCGCGCAGCCAACTGGTGCGGTCAACTAACTGCAGGCGAGCGCGGCTCGGCACGGCACGGCGTGCATCCGCCGTGAGAACCTGCCAGTCGATTCCTTTAGACCATCAGGCCGTCGGCGAGCCGCGGCACGAGGAAATTAAAAATATTTCTACGCTTCTGGGATTTGTATAGATTCTCCGCTGCAGGCTGATTCCGAGAGTCTCCTAGTCGCTCTGTCTCTCTCGCTCCCACACGGGACGCCCATGAGTGCGAGAGAGACAGAGCGAGGGAAAGGACTCAGCCCACTGGTCGTCGGAGTCAGGTGGATAAACTCTCGGCTAGGCTAGCCCGCACGCGTAATCGCGTAAAATTAAAAGTCATGCGACGGCCCGTCCCGGCGCGCGTCCTGAGCGGGCACAGCGGCAGGCCGGCGTCTCTCTCGCATCACCGCGGGAGGCACCACGAGAGCGGGAGAGACAGGGCGACGAAAGCACTGCTCAGGACCGGCCCGCTGCCGGGATGCTGGGCCTGGCCGGGCCACGCCGGGCCCCGGGACGCAGGACGGGACGGGCATGGCGGGCCGCTGGCGGGGCGCTATGAATAGGAGTGGCTAGATAAGAGCGACCCTGCCGTGCTGGGCAAAAGTATGCCACACCACTTTCCATGGGCCGCGCCATAGCACGCCGACGAGGCCACCGCCAGCAGCACAGCCATCAGCACCCCCGGGCCCCGGGCCCCGCACCCGATTCCAAGACTCCACCCGACCCTCCCTCGCCGCGGGCTGCTGACGCCTACATTGCTAGTCGTCGCTAGTGACGCCGGGCGCGGAGTGCGCGGATAGCGTTGCAAGGGCGGTGGCGGTGCTCGAGTGCTCGACATCTGGTGTTGCTTACGACACATCCGATGAGGCTGAGACGCGCCACGCGGCCACGCGGCCGGTATTCGCTCGGTATTCGCTTGGCCGAGGCCGGCCGGGCTCCCATTAGCCTAGGCCAGTGGCCACAGCTGCCGCAGCTGCCTGGAGCACCGGGGCAACGAACTGCCGGCCACCACCACGACCTCCTCCAGCACACCGCGCGCCTCCACTTCGACGCCACACAGTTTTTATTTCAGCGACCGTCAGCAGAGTCAGGGGCTACTCGGGGGCAGATTCCGCGCGGACGCGAACAGATGGCCTCCTGCCGCGAGACTAGCGCGCCGCGCCGCGCCTGGGCGTCGTCATCGACGAGATCTAAATTTCCCTGTTGCTTTTCAGATCGGGCAGGCGCCACTTCAGCCCGCCTAGCCTGCCTCAGCCTGCTGCACGGTCTTCAAGGCCCATCCGTCGCGGATAAACACCGCAGGGCCGCGGCCTCGGCCGGTGCGTCGGCCACGAGGTCGGCCAGCATGGCGCCGCGGGGCGCACGGATCCAGTGTCGTCCGCGCCGGTCGCCAGCCCCGCGACAACGCAGCCACAGGGCCCAGCGACAACACACCCAGCGCGCCCAGCGCGTCCACCCGGCCGTGGGAGCAGCGCGTCGTCACTGACTCTCCTGACTCTATCGCCCGCCATCGGAGTCGCCCCTTTGTGCCGGCCTCCGGGCCTCGTCACCGGCCTCGTCACCTGGCGTGCGTCGGCGAGGCGATGCGGGCCGTGATGCTGCACCAAGCGCTGCGCCGCTGCCTGGCCGTGGCCGTCCTGCTGGCCGCGCTGGGCCCCATCAAGAAGGCCGGCGGCCAGCGCGCCAGCGGCCAGCCCGTGCTGCGCCCTTCAGGTGGGTACACCGCGCCAACCGCCAGACGGTCCGCCAGACGGAGAGACACGCGGCGATGGTTCGCCAGCTTGATCTGGAATCCCCTCCTTGTTATGCCCGCGTGTGATGTGTGCCACTTTCACGGTCCGCGAGTCCCTCGTCGCTACCTATTAACCTCTCCCTCCCCGGCCGCACAGGCAGTACCTGCAGACTGATTCCGAGAGTCGTTTTCGTCGCTCTGTCTCCCTCGCACCTATACGGGACGCCCCACGAGTGCGAGAGAGACAGAGCGACGAAAACGACTCTCGGAATGAGTCTGCTGCTGTACCTGTTGACACCTGACTGACGTCGCGAAGCCCGCTTCTCACACGGCCGGGCCGAGGCGAAGGCATGCAGCGTCTAGCTGGACATGGGACATGGGCTGCACGACGAGAATGCGAGGTATGAAAAATTGCGTACATGGCGTCCTCGGCGTCCTCCGGGGGAGCGTCCCTAAGCCGCGCTCGGTCCGAGCGGCCGTGTGTGCTGCCCGCCGCACAGCGCAGTGTAGACCCAAGGCATAAAAATAATGCCCCCTCCGCGCCAAAAAAAAAGAGAGAAACGCAGGAAAACGGCAAAGAAACCGCACTGGGCGGTGCAAGCACACTGCAAGCAGCATGCAGGTGGTTCGGCCGTTCGGCCGTTCGGGCGGAGCGGCCCAAGTCACGCCGTAAATCAAAGCCTTGCGGGCAAATTGCTGGCGGGGGTCACCCACACCACGCAGGCAACGCACACCACGCAGGCACGCTCTGTCTCTCTCGCTCTCGTGGTGCGTCCCGCAGGGGTGCGAGAGAGACAGCCTGCCGTGGGGGCCACCGCCCGCCGGGCCAGCGCTGCGCTACTTGCGGGGGGCATGTCCACGCCGCGGTGGAGCCATCCGACACGCCGCGCCACTGTCGCCACGTCGCCACTGCCGCCGCGCCTACCGCATTTTTCAAACAAGGAAAGCCGGTGTCGGGGACCGTCCTCGCATTTCAAGAGACCAATAATTTCAACTCCCCCCCCCACCCCTTTCACGTCGAAATTCCAGGACGGCCCCTTCGCTTCGCTGTGGTCCTTGGAAAAGGAAATCCGCCGTGTGTTGCAAGTCGCGCCTTATCTTTATCTCCGCTCATCTGGCGCCCCGAACCCAAACGCCCCGAAACGCCCCAAAACGCCGAGCCCGCGCGATAAAAGAAAAGCGTGCCTGATAACGAGCGCGAGACGTGGAATCCAGCGCCGTGCCTCGCCGCGTGTCCCGACGGGACACTTCCTTCTCTATGCACTTCTCGGTCCGTTCGAACTTAGACGCCAGCACTGTAAGCACTGCGAGCACTGCAAAACGGCGGCGCTCTGCCTCGCGCTCTGCTCCCACGCGGCCAAGTCAGTAATGAATCACACGGCGGATAGCATCGCCGTCGATCCCGCGCCGTTTAATCCGGATCACCCGCTGCCCGATTCCGAGCAGTGCTCCGTCGCTCCGTCTCTCTCGCTCCCCCACGGGACGCCCCACGAGTGCGAGAGAGACAGAGCGCGTCAAAAGCGCGCACGCCATTTCGGCGGCATCAGTTCTCTATCGGTTCCACTCTGTCTCGTTAGAGCGGCGGCGGCGGCGCGAGGAGCACACGATTTATAGCAGCAGACTGATTCCGAGAGTCGTTTTCGTCGCTTTCTTTCTCGCATTCATGGGCATGAGTGCGAGAGAGGCAGCGGCCAAAATGGCAGTGGGATCTGGCTGTGCGCGCTGTGCTGGCTATTCGCACGCCGACGAGGCCCCGCCACGCCGTGGAGTCCCTGCTCCAGACGCGGCGGCGCGGCCAAGCCAAGGCGTGGCCCCTGCGACGCGCGGCCTCGGCAACGCGGCCGACGGCGCCGTCCACCGGGCGGCCCGCCAGCCGGGCCCCGAAACACCCGAAACAAAGCGACAACGAGGACGAGATGGAGTCGGTCTTCACCGCGGAGCGCGGCGTGCGTGGGTGGCGTGCGTCACGCAGGTGTCAAACCGTCACCGTCGCGTGACATGCAGGACCCGCTGCCCCGTCCCGGCCCCGGCAGGCAGGCAGCACACTGCGCGGACTGAGAGTCGTCGCTCTGTCTCTCTCGCACCTATACGGCACGCCCCATGAGTGCGAGAGAGACAGAGCGACGACTCTCGGAATCAGTCTGCTGCCGAGGGCCGAGACCGGCAAGCCAATGCGAAGCGGTTTTGTTCTCGTCGAGGAGCGTCTGCTTGGAGTGGATCTCGGCATGCCTGCGCCCATAGGGCCGCTGAGTAGGCCAGAAGACCGGTACAGGCGGCCAAACCTCTAGAAGCGTTTTGAGCTCCGGAGTCGCTACGCAGGATTCGAACCGAACGTGTGACCCCACCAATGGATTCCTCGTTCGGAGAGCAATCCACTGGTGGGGTCACACGTTCGGTTCCAGTCCTATTTAGCAAGTCTGGAGCTCAAAACCCCCTCTACAGACTTTTGGCCGCCGGCGCCGGTCTTCTGGCCCACTGTGCGTCCCGCATGCCGACTGAAAAAGAGGGGGGGGGGCTCACAAATCGGGGAGGCACGCCAAATCCGCGGAGGGCCGCCGGAAGCAGAGAGTCGGCCTCGCAAATACTCATAATCTATTTATGGCGCCACTTGGACTTCCGGCAGCGAGATCGCCGCGCGATGCGGTTTCCGTTTACGATCGACGGGCGGCAGCGCGGCGGGGCATGGCATGATAGACAGAGATGGAAAGCAGGATAAAAACGCCGTTCGATTTGAGGAGGGGGAGCAGAGCAGGAGAGTCTCGCCAAGCCGAAATACCGGGAACTCTTGTGAGCATGTACCGGACATGCCGACTGGAGACTAAACACTTGCACTTACTCGCGCGCGCACGACACCAACACACTCACACGCACGCACGCACGCACGCGGAGTGCGCGGCTTGAGACCAGACCGCGCCGCGCCCCGCGGCATGCCCCGCGGCTCGGGGAGGCGTCATAACTCTTCCCGATAGCCGCAGAGAGAGAGAGAGACAGACAGAGCGGCATCTGCCAATCCGGCGGCTTTCTGTTTCGGCTGCGGGTGCGGGCCGAGAGCGGCCGGGAGGCCTGCAGACTGATTCCGACAGTCTCTCTCGCACCTGTAAGGAACGCCCCATGAGTGCGAGAGAGACAGAGCGACGAAAACGACTCTCGGAATCGGTCTGCAGGCCAGGGCGTCGTCCAGCCGGGCCCGGCCGCCTAGACACAAAGTCGAATGTTTAAGGCTTTGAGGCCCGCGGCGCTCTTTGTCAAGGTGCAGCGCGGTGTGGTGTGGTGTGGCGGTCGCGGCGGTAGCGGCGCACGAAGCAGTAAGGAACTTGGTAGCCGACGCCCCGGCCGGCCGGCAGTGGCCTGCGTGCATGCCGCGGCATGCTGCTGCATTGTTGTGAACCGTTGTAGTGGAGGGCCGCAGGCAAATGAAGCCATAAGCCTTGGCGGTGATGCCTGCTGCCGTTAGCAGTGCCGACGTGGACGTGCCTTACAGTGTACAGTATTTATCCACCTGCGATGATGCTGACATGACAGGCGGCGCCGCGGTCTGGCTGCGTTCCCGCGCTCTCGCCACGCTGCAAAACTCCCCTCGCACACAGTGGGCCAGAAGACCGGTGGAGGCGGGCAAAATTCTTGACCGCTGAACGGGACTCGAACCGAACGCGTGACCCCACCAATGGATTGCTCTCCGAACGAGGAATCCATTGGAGGGGTCACGCGTTCGGTTCGAGACCTGTTTAGCGACTCTGGAGCTCAAAACGCGTCTAGAGCTTTGGCCGTCTCCACCGGTCTTCTGGCCCACTGTGCGGCGTTTTCTTTGCATTGCCCACTTGGGCCGGGGAGGGCAGGGGCGGCCTGCTGCGGCTCGTCGCTGGCGTTCCTAGAGTGTATGGGATGCGCAACTCAGCGCATGGCGAAGTGCGAATTGCGCCGAGTGCAAGCATTGCAGGCATTGCAGGCCGGCAGGCGAGGCCAGCGTCGAGTGGCGTTGTCGGTGCGCTCAAAGAAGCGGTGACAGCAGCACTGGAAGCGGGGGGGGGGGGGGTAATAAAACTCGTCAATGAATGTGCCCATTCAGCGTGTCGGTTTTTCTCCTCTCTTCTCTGTTGGTCGTGACCCCATCCCTGACCATCCTCACTAGCCGAACCCCGCCGCACTGTCACCGCAAGCACAATGGTGTAACCTGTATGCGGAAATCCTTCCCGGACCCGGATCCGGGCTACCCGTGTTTTTGTTGTTGGAATTTGATGTTTTTGTTTTCTCCCTTCAACCCTCATTGCACTGGTCGGATTGCTCAGCGTGACGTGTTGCAGACGTGGCGGGCATCACGGTGGAGGGCATGTTGGAGGAGGGCGGCCGGGTCCGGCGCCAGTACTCGTGCCCGGCGCGCTTCATCCGCATGGGCAACTCGTGCTACTTCCTGTCCAAGACCATGGCGTCCTGGCACGACGCCCACTTCCGGTGCCGCGCCAAGGGGGCGCAACTGGCCGTCTTCGAGAAGCGCTCCGAGAACGCCCACATGCGGAAGCACCTGATGCGCGAGGAGATGGGTAAGGCCGTGAGGGCGAGTGGCCGACGGTAACCGACCAGGGAGGGTTCACGTCGCCGTCGAAGTGACGCACAGTGGGCCAGAAGACCGGCGCCGAGTGTGACGTTTTGACACTGTGTCCGCAGCGCCGCTGGCCCGCTGGATCGGCGGCATCTACCAGCAAGAGAAGCGCTTCTGGATGTGGGGCAGCTCGGGGCTGCCCATCGGCTACAAGGCCTTCCCGCGGCGCATGGTCACCCAGGACTGGGCGTGGCACTGCATCGCCATGGACCCCACGGCCGCCTTCCACTGGCGGCCCGCCTCCTGCCTGCACGTCAAGCACTACATCTGCGAGACGCCGCTGCGCAGGACCAGGACGCGCGTCCAGGACGCGGGGACCAAGCAGCACAAGGTGGGTCCTCTGAGCCACCAGCAGAGCGGACTAATCCCGAGAGTCGTTCTCGTCGCCCGTCTCCCTCGCACGCGTGGAGGACGCACCATCAGTGCGAGAGAGACAGAGCGACGAAAACGACCCTCGCAGCCAGCCTCGGTGCAGCGCAGCGGAGTGAGTTGGCTTGCCTACCCGCTCGACCGCAGGCGCTCGGCAGTCCGCCAAGGACGCGCCTTGGACTCGAGGCATGCATTTCGAGGGAGGGGGAGCAGCGCACTGATCCTATAGACCAGAGACACGCTGCCGTCTGTTTCCACAGGGTCCCCGTCGGAAGGACGGCGACGTCCTGGTGGACAAGGTCAGCCGTGGCGGCGATCAGCGACTCCCCGCTGCCCCGCCAAAGTCCGACACCAACAGCACCTCCGCCTCCGCGGCGACGCCAGGGCCAGGGCCAGGGCCAGGGCCCCGGCGACTGGATGAGCGGCGGCCGATGGCAGCGAACCGGACCCGGGTCGGTGCCGTCCACCGCTACAACCACGCGTACCGCCCGCGCGCCCCGGGACCTCCCCCAGGACCGCGTCAGCCGGGCGGTCCTCGCTACCGACGGCCGTGGCCGCAGCGCCCGGTCGACCTGGCCGACATCTACCCGGCGCTCCGGGACCCGCAGGCGGCGAAGAGGGCGAGGGGCGGGCCGCGGCGCCCGCAGCAGAGCCACGGCCTCGGCGACGGCGACAAGAGGCCGCCGCCGACGTCGGCGTCGCGGAGGCTGCCGGAGATGCTGGACGCCACGGTGCAGACGCTGTACCCGCCGCCCGGCGCCGCCAGGCACGACACCAATGACTTCTCCAATGACGTGTAGTGTGGGGATCTTGTTGGTGGGAAGGCCGTCTTGTTTATCCTTCTTCGTGACCTATCGTTTGTTATTACTACAAGATTCTGCGTGGAGCTTTCTTCGCGTTCCGGCTTTGTAACGCCTCGCTTTTAATCTACACGTGTAGCTCGTTTTTACCGATACCATGTCCGGCTTTGTTTTCAGAGAATAAAAGCTTCTTGTTTTGTATAAAATGTTTGACATTCATTTCACTGGAAGGGGCCGGCGCGTTTTGAGGTGCACCCGTCAAAACTCGTGGGTCGGCGAGTCCGGAGTCCGCGGCCGCGGGGGCAGTGACCAGACCGACCAGACCAGGGCAGAAGCAGGTCGACGGGAAGGGTGACATGCTCCGCGTTCGCGTGCACGCTGGTGGCGGCTCCGGCTAACTCGCTGCGTTTTGTCGCATCGCGTCGATAATGGAGGTAATGCCCCTTGTCCGACACGACGACCACGACGACCACCACGACCACCACGACGACGACAAAAGGAAGCAAAGGAATCGTGAGGAAGCCGCGGATGCCGCGGCCCCCTCCCTGCCGTACCGGCACAACACTACAACACTACCCCCACCCCCTCCCCTCCCCTCCCCGCGCCACCCTCCACCGCCCCCTAGACCAAACAGTGAATCGGCGCGCGGGGCCGAGGCGAGGCGGCCGAGGCGCGGAGGCATGGCCGGCGTGGCGCCGTGGCAGGGGGCGGTGGCGGCGCCGCGAGTAGCGGGCGTAGTGGCAGTGGGCAATAGTGTTTCCCCTCGCTTCTCGTTCCGTGCCGCCGCTGCCGCTGCCGCTCCGGCCACGCGCCCACCACGGCCGCTACTACACTGCTAGGGACCTGGGGGAGGGGGTGACTGGCGTGGTGGCGCGGGGCGCGTCGTAGGCGACGGGGCTGGCGTCGTCGTCGTCCGGCCAGAGGCGGTGAGCACGAGGCGCAGGGCGCACGTCCCGCACGTCCACGTCCCCGACGAGCATCCACGTTCAGCACGGTGTCGGCGTCGGCGTCCACGCGCGGCAACGCGGCGCTGCCAGGACAGGCGGTGGCGGGGCTTCGCCCTCCTGGACACGGTGCTGGAGGCCGCCGTTGAGGACAGCCAGTACAGCCCCCTGAAGCGCGCCAACATGGCGGGCGACGCGCAGGCGGACATCCCCGGTAAGGCTCGGCGTCCGCAGGCCGCACGTGCTCGCCTCGGCCGCGTTACACTGGATGATCCCTGTTTTTGGCGGCAGACACTGGGGCCGTGTTCACGTTCGGCCGCAGTCGCTTCGCCAACAACGCCGCCAGCCACTTCTTCATCCGGAACGACCCCGTCGTGGAGATGAGCTGCGGCGACGAGCACACCGCCGTCGTCTGCCGTGAGTACACCGGCTGCCGGGGATCGAGCCCGGGCAGGCCGTTCGATCCGCCATCCGCCCTCCTCGGCCACCACACTGCACGTTCGGCCGCTCGCACTGACCAACACCACCACGCCGCACGGCCCTCCACACCTCTGAAAAAGGCCCGCAGGAAGGCAATTAGTTTCACTTCTCGGCCGGAGTGACAGCTCGCCGATGATCTGCTACGCAAAAATGACGTCATCGGATTGCTTTCGAGGGGAAAGGCGGGAAAGGACTCGCGGTCGGCCTGATTTGAGCGCCACGCCACGCCGCGCCGCGCCTCGCCCCGCGCCTCGCCCCGCACTGGCACACAATTGTATCCATAGCAGCCGAGACGATGTTGATGGGGGAGTTGATGACGGCAAGGGGCAAGGGGTGCGCGCCTTCCGCGGCGTGTGTGGGCGGCCCGGGCGGCCCGGGGGGAGGCCGGCGTGGTGGGGTGAGGCCCGAGGCCCGAGGCCCGGCCTCCAGGACGGCGGAGCGCTGCGCGCCGTGACGTGCGTTCGGTGCGTAAGCCGTCGGCCCGTCGACGGCCCCCTCTGAAACCATCCACGGCGCCTCGCCTCCACCTCGCCGAGACGTCGCCCGAGTCCAACGAGCCAACCGGGAGTGTACGCTGACTGCCGTGACTGCAGCGTGCCAGATACGACGCTACACCTGTAATACAGGTGCTCGGGGTTTGGCTCTTTGGCTCGCAGTGTACGGGCTGGGCTGTCCGTGGGCGTCCAGTCCGACCCAGACCACAGTCGAATCGATACGAATCGTATCGGGCCTCGACCGCGGCGCGGGGCGCGGGGTGGGGCGGGGATGCACACATTTTGACGCGTCGTGGAGTGTTGGGCGTGCTGGGGGTCGGCGCCACATGCCTCCACCGTTCAAGTCCCGGCCGGGGTCGCGGCGGGCGGCCAAGGCGGAGGCGGCAGCGCAACGTGGCGAAACCTGGGGCGCGCGCGCGAGCCGCACGAAGGAGGGCGTCGTGCTTGTAGAGGGTAGACCGGGGTAGACGACGGCGCGTGTGGGTGGCGGGGCCAGGCGGGGCCAGGCGGGCCGCGCGGGCGGGCTCAGTGACCGGCAGGGAGGCTACCGCGCTGCCGCCGAAGGAAGAGGAAGAGGCCGCCCGGGCCCCGGGAGGAAGGAGGGGGCGGGGCGCGTACCCTCCCTCGGGTACATCGACCCCCTTCACCGTGAAGGCGGACGCCACGGCGGCGGCGTGGCCCAGCCGGCCCAGCGGCGCGCACTTTTACTCGAGCGCATTATGCATTCTGACTAATCCTTCCTGCTCGCCCACGCCGTGCTCGGTCTCGATGTCGGGGCCGGGGCCCAGCCGGCCGGTCGCGTGTGCAGCCCGCAGATGAATTCATTGCGTCGGCCTCCGGCACGGCCTTGGCGGGGTTGCTCAGGCCGCTCCGGGCGGGGTTGGCGACCTTGGCGCCCCTCGGCGGCCAGGTGCTGTGGTCGTGGCGACCGACCGCGGCCCCCAGTCCCCACATGCAGGCCGTATGCTTGAAGCGGCCGCTGTCGTGATTTTTGAACACGACTGTACACAACACAGCGGGGGCACTCTCTCGCGTCGCGTTTCCCCTCTCAACTCGAAAGCGGCTCCTGTACACAAGACGCAAAAACTATTTTGTAAAATTACGATATTTCCGAGTACAAAATAGAGCATTCTTGTTTTACGTTCTTGAAACCCTGCTCGCAGTCAGCACAGTAGTCACATTACCAGCGTGGTTTCAGGAAAAGCCGAAAGAAGGGAACGCGCGATTGTTATCAGGCGGACCGGGGCCCGGGGCGGGGCGTGGGGTGAAGTGTTGTCGGCGCATGTGGCCTTTCCCTGCTGCCCTGCCTCGCCGCTCTGTCTCTCTCGCACCCCTACGCGACGCCGCATGAGTGCGAGAGAGACAGAGCGACGTGGGCACTGCCGCGGACTGCGCAGCACTAGTAAGTACGGGTTGGTACGGGTGCAGATCCAGCGCTGAGCCCGGGGGCCACTCAGCTCGACGACCACTTCCTGCGAGCGAAACGCCTTCCTTGCCCGTCACGGCGGCCCCGCGAGGTTTCGCTGAGCGCACAGTGTAGCGAACATCGTGAACGTGGCGAGGCATGGAGCAAACACTGGGTGGGTGTCCGGCGATTGGTTGATTGGGAGCTGGCGTGCAGCGCGGCCTCCACGACGACCGTGGCGCGCTATCGGCCTATCGGGGGCTGTCCGCCACCGCGGCCCTTGTTCGCCGTCGCGGTGCACGTTTGCTCGGAGCACACAGCGTGCCACACAGTGTGCCACACACGCTGCCCCGCCGGCCACTCGCATGGTTTCGTGAAGGTTAAGGTCACGTCGCGGTGATCCAAGGAGCCCCGAAAGCGGGGCGAGCCCCCCGCTGCCCTGCACTCCCTATGCCCACTCCGCCAGCGCCTGGGTGATGACGAATCGGGGCCGGTCGAAAGCTCGGAAGGCGCCGCGGCTAATCCGCTTCTAATCGTCGGCAGCCAGCCGGACAGCCGGACAGGCCGAGGGCATTCACAAAACCGGACCGAGTGGTTTGGCGCTACCGTCGCCCATCGACCGCGGGGCGCGCCCCACTGACACGGCGACACGGCCGTACGACCACGACGACCGCAAATTTGGCGACCATTTGCCGGCCCGGTCGTATTGATCCCGAACGTGTCCGCCACACTGTGCTACTGCATCCCTCCCATTAGGGCCGGGAATATGTCATCAGGACGGCTCGGCTCGGCTTCGGCGAAACCGCGGACTGGCGGCGTCACGGCGCCACGCGCGGCCCGTAAGTGCGGGCCTTCCCCTGGAGGCCTTCCCCCGGAGGCCCGCCGCCAACGCCATGAACCCCATGAATCAGCCATTCTGGTGTAGAGCGCCCACGGCGAGGCGCATAGCGATCATCAAGCAAGGCAGGTTTCAGAAAGGTTCGGCGTAAAATTACTCTTTTCCGCGTCCAGACTTTTGGCCGCCGGCATCGGTCTTCCGGGCCACTGGCGGGAGGGGAGGGGAGGTTCACGACGTCGGAATCAACAGTGACGTGCTTTCCCTGCGCGTGCAATATGCACACCACACGTTGAGTGGGTCAGGCGATAATAGACCGTCGTTGTCGCTGTGTCACCGCCTATAGAATGATCGGCATGACCTGGATTCCTCGACCGGACTGCCGTGACGTGGTTCGAGAACTTCTCCAGGCGGTCCTTGACTCATTCATGCCTGTGCGCGTCTTTTCGGTTCCGGCTGTCCGGAAGTCCTCGACGCGAGGCTAAGGGGGTCGCTGCGGGTCGCGAGGCGTCGCGGTCAGCGGGAGGCCCCGCCAGGTGCTGTTGTTATGTAGGTCGCGTGCCCCCCCCCCTCTCCCTCTCCGTCTGACCGTCCGGCCGTCTTTGCGTCTGTCTTCCGTTTCAGTTTCCCCACCCCCTGTGCACTAATTACACCAACCCAATCAACTCCCCCCTCCCTCCCCCACCTTCCCGACTATTCCTTCATTCTTTTCACTGCCTCCAGCCGATGGCCGGCTCACGCGAAGGAGGCAGCCCGTTCCGGCCAGATTGAAAATCTGACATTTGTCTTCCTCGCTGCACTGTATGGAGCCTAACACGTGTCACACACACACACACACGCGCACACACACACACACACACACACACACACACACACACACGAGCGCCCTGTGCCGGTGCAGCACGCGCTGGCATGGCTATCCATAAATCAGAGTCGTGTGTCGTGAAGGGCTGCGGGTCGCTTATTTCGTCGCTCTGTCTCTCTCGCACTCGTGGGGTGCCCCCCTGGGGGTGCGAGAGAGACAGAGCAACGGGGCGCACCGTTCGGAATCGTCCTGCAGGGGGGAAGTGCACGGACGACGGACAAAGGCAAGTACGCCGTCGCCTTGCCGGGCCGCGGCGGTCAGCGCGGCCGCGGCAGTGGACGGGGCTGTCGCTGATGTGGGGGCGTAGCACTGTTGGGACGGACAGGCGGGGAAAGGCCGCCGTTTTTAATTCATCGCCCCGATGTTGGCCATCGTGCTCGCGCTCCGCGCCCCACTTGGCTGACACTGACCTGGACAACGGCCATGTGGGGCACGGCGGGCACGGCCAGCAGGGCCAGCACGGCCGGCAGGGCGTCACGGCGAGGTGGTGGCGGCGCGTTGAAACCGGGCCATCGAGCTGCGTTGCCGCCAGGCCGACCAGCACACTCATTCCGGGGGTTGTTTATTTCGTCACTCTGTCTTTCTCGGGACACCCCGATGAGTGCGAGAGAGACAGAGCGACGAAAAACGAGGAATGCCGTCGATGCGGTCGGTGGAACCGACAGGGAAGTGCCGGGACGTCCCGACCTAACCTGACCGACCGCCCCGCCGTGTCACGACGGATAGGGTACCACACCCTCTCCGGCCCCTCCCTGCTCGCGAGCCAACTAGCAAAGTCTTTGTTGACTCTCTATGCTTTCGCCCAAGTGCCCGGGCCGGGAGTGTAGTGTACACACTGATCGATAACTATAATGGGTGTTTTCTCGCCGACAACAAACAGAAAAAACATTTTTCGCTTCCTCGAAACCTTAACGCTCCCTCTTCCCCCTTTCTCCTTTCTGCAGTGTGCTCTGACGGATTGAGTGCCATTCGGTATCGGCGGCTGAATCGCCCAGTGTGCCACCCTGCCGCCCAGCAGACTGATTCCGAGAGTCGTTTCCGTCGTTCTGTCTCTCTCGCTCCTATATGGGACGCCCCATGAGTGCGAGAGAGACAGAGCGACGAAAACGACTCTCGGAATCAGTCTACTGCAGCGCTGATGGCCGCCCGGCCCGGCCGCGACTCATTATTCCTGATGGAAATAGAACGAGAGGGAGTCCGAAAGGAAAGGAAAGGAGAGTCCTTGGTTCCTTGGCGGCACTCCACGTTCCGTCTCTCTCGCCCCCTAACGGGCCGCCCTTTGAGTGCGAGAGAGAAAGAGCGACGAAAGCGTTCTTTCGGAATCAGTCTGCTGGAACGCTGGAACGCTACGCGCGTCATGGGGCGGGCGGGCGGGCGCCTGCGGCCCACACCGCGCGCTCCACAGCCGTGTCGGCGGGTTGCCTACCCTCGGCACGACGGGCGCTCGGCGCGAGGAACTCGCTGCTGGCCTTGTCAAGACGGCGGACGCGAACGGCGGGGCGGTGGCTGCATTGTGGTTCTAAACCGCCCTGGCCGTCGCCGTTCACCTGTTGTGGCGTTCCTGGGGCATTATCGGCGAGCGCCTTTGTCGCCGCCTGCAGAGCAGTGCAGAGCAGTGCAGCCGACTCCGAACGTCGTCGCTCTGTCTCTCTCGCGCTCATGGGGCGTCCCGCTCGGGTGCGAGAGAGACGGAGACGCCCGGCCGTCCAGGCCGCGGCGCCGCACGCCGTTTTGTCCGCCTTTAGGGCTTTGTCCGGCCGGGGCCCGGGCCTCTAGCCCGCCCCGGGCCAGCACGTCTGGTCGTCACGCACCTGCACTGCAAACCCCTCCCCCTCCCCGGTCAGGGCGTCTGCCCCTTTGAGGGTTCAGGGTTCAGCGGCCGGCACACGACAACTCTGGACACGTTTTGAGCTCCGGTCCTCTTGAAGGGCTGGAACCAGGCGCATGGTGGTGAAACGGCGTCGACAGACTCCAAGGGAAGTCCATTGTACCACCACCGTGAGCTTGGTTCGAGGCTTCGAGTCCCGGCCCCGCCTCTCTGTCCCTCTTTCTCTTCTCCTCGCTCATGTTGCCTTTTGTCTGTCCCAGAGAACGGCCGCGTGTTCGCCTTCGGGAGCAACACGTGGGGCCAGCTGGGCCTCGGCCACAAGAACACCGCCACCATGCCGAGCTGCGTTAAAAGTGAGTGGAGCCTCGCTCAGTTTCCCCGGCACCGAAAGTCGTTTTCGTCGCTGTCTCTCTAGCACTCATGGAGCGCACCGTTTGAGTGGCAGAGAGACAGAGCGACGGAAACGACTCTCGGAGTGGAAGCCTGGAAGCAAGCATGGGTGTGTTCGCAGGTCTCAAGCCGGAGAAGGCGACGCACGTGGCTTGCGGCAAGTCGCACACCATCGTCAGCACGCGTAAGTTGCAATGCAGTGTCGCACCGTGTTTCCCAGCGGGCGTCAGCCTCTTTCAACATCTTGTCCTGCCTTCTCTCTTAAAGATTCCGGAAAGGTGTTTTCCTTCGGGAGCAACATGGACTGCCAGCTCGGGCTGGGTGACACCGAGGAACGCGCCACCCCGACCGAGGTGGCGGGCATCTTCGCCGGCGAGGACGGCGTCCGGATGCTCGCGGCGGGGTGCCAACACTCGGCCGTGCTCACGGGTACGCTGTGAAACACTTGCCTAGCCTAACCAGCCCCGCACAAGGCACCGTGTGGAAAACGAAGTGTACCAGCTCATCGAATCTGTTTTCAGTGGACGGCGGCGTCTACGTGTGGGGTAGTAATTCGGACGGACAGCTCGGCCTCGGCGAATCGGTGACGGTCGTCGATACTCCAAAGCGCATCGACCTTCCGCACACAATAGCTTACATTAGTTGTGGGTACTATCACACAGCGCTAGTCACTGGTAAGCCATTCAATCTTTCTAAGCGAGTTTGTAAGCGCCTTTCGGAGTGGAATGCCCTGTTCTTATCAGTCTTTTGTTGCAGAGGAAGGACAGCTTCTCATGTGCGGCGAGGGAGAAAATGGCAAATTGGGCCTTTCTCGAGAGAATCGAAACGTCTTCGTACCAACTCCTGTCAATATCAATGTTCCCATCAGATCCGTGGCGTGTGGGGGGAACCACACCATCGCCGTTTCAAGTAAAGACTCCAAATTATTTTTCAAAACATTAAAAATATTTTATGCATATTTATGGATTAATGTTTTCCCCCTAGTGGACGGTGATGTTTATGGGTTTGGCTCCAACCTCAGTGGACAGTTAGGACTTGGCAGAGAAGTCTTGTCATTCTCAGTACCTGAATGCGTTGAAACTCTGCTTGGCAAGCATATCTGTGCAGCAGCTTGTGGGGAAATCCATACCGCATTTTTGACAGGTAAGTCATCAAAAATTTTTACACGTTATATTTTTTTTCTCATAAAATGTGTTTAATAAGTTCAATGAAAGAATAACAAAACAATTTTCTTTGATTTGCAGTTGAAGGTCATATGTATGCCTGCGGAGATGGTCGACATGGGAAACTCTGCATTGAAATAGAAAATGGAGATGAGGGTTCAGTACAGTGTACACCACAATCCGTCACTCGCTTTAGCCAGTACAGAGTAAAACAGGTACTCCCTTTAAAAAAAAAAAAAAAAAACAAAAACAATGCAAAACAAAAATTGACCAAATTATTTTTAAAAATTTTGTCTTGAAAGTAACATTTTGTCATCTATTTATTTAAGGTGGCTTGTGGAGGCTGTCATACAATGGTTCAAGCAGTCATGGAAGCAGACACTTCCAAAAATGACGCAAATGAACTGGTAAATGGAGACGTATCCTTAAGATTGAAAAAAGTGGACACAGGTGAAAGAGAGAAGACTCCTGCAATGCTGGTAAAAACCATTCCATTAACAGTGTCTCAGGAAAGAGCTGTGTTTTATTCACATTAATGTTATCAACCCATTTTTCTATGTCTTGTGTAGGACGGGTCAAGCAGAGTTCTCCCACCCCTACAAAATGCACCTGTCCTTAATGGACTCTCAGAGAAATCTCCAATAAATGGCTCTGATGATATGAATCCTGAGAATGATGATAAAAATGAAGCCTCAGCATTAGATAATAAAAATGAAGCCTCCTCTGCACTAAATGGAACTGCACCTGAGTTGCAGAATGGTGAAGCAGACCAACCCATTACAACAAATGGGCACAACACCCACTCTGAACAACACACTGACCTAAGCCCAGTCGAAAACGATTTGTCAGAACACAATGGCCAGTCCAACTCAATTGAGCTAGACAGCAGCAGTAACATTGTTAATGGTAATCATGAAAAAACGTCTAGTAAGTCTTAATGTCTTTAAGTACTAAACTTCTTGCTTTTGACACTATAAAGGGACTTTTATTTTTTATCTCAATGGGAATTTCAGGTGAAAGAAATTCTGTTGACAAACTAGATATAATTGAAGACAAAGATAATGTATACTCAAAGTTCAATCTCAGAGATGCTAGTGACTTGGCAAGTGAAACACAGAATGGAACCGGTGAGAGAGAAGAAGAAGCAGATGAGGTGGACACGCCCAGAACAATAAAGGCAGATGATGGGCAGGAATCAGTACAAAAGGTGGATGACAGACGATGTTCTGTTGATGTAACTCCAACTCTCACAGTTACTGGAACGGTTTGTTTTCTAACTTATCAAAATGAAGATTTTTAAGCAACTTACATTCAAAATTAATGTTTTGCCTGTTTTGTTGTCTTCCAAAGGATGGTGTTGATCTGGACTCTGAAGAGACAAACACCAATGCTGATGGAAATAGGACTGATAATAAACCAAATTTGATATCTTCCTTTGACAAAGGTCTGCATATGTTTCTTGATAATTGTTATTTGTAACTAACTTCATTGCCCTGAGAATGTAAGTGTTTATTTCTTGTTGGCTCAGGAGAGGGACGAATGGCGAAATTTTTAAATGCATTTCGACGCAAAAAGCTCTCCGAGGAAAATGTGTCTGTTAATGCTGCCTGGACTGATGTTGAGAGAAGTAAGTAAATCTGTATTTATATTCGCTGAACCTTCTGATATATTTGTGGACCTGTGCTGAATCCTGAAGCTTGTCTAAATAATTTTCCAACACGTTCAAGGAATATCCAGTGAAAATAACTTAAAAAATGGAAAAAACTCATCCCAGATTCAAATAAGATCTGGCCTGGTACATAAGGTAAGGGTCATGTTCAGTGATCCAAAAACTTTTGAGCTCCACAAACAATAGCTTATGAAGTGTTTTTGTCGTATGTTTCAGTCAAAGGCGTGTGTAATATTGTAGGTGCTTGGGTCCTGCATCCAATACTACTTTAACTGATATTTGTTATAGAATTTGCTTTATGGTGACAAAATATTAAGGGCAACAAAAATAAATTATTTCAAAAAACAAAATCAGTCTTTTAATTTGGAGTAAAATATGTCACATCATCAACATTTTAAAATATATAGTTTATAGATTGAACAATTAAACAATGTAACCAGAGTTCATATTGGCTCCATGAGAGGCAATGACTAGTAAGTCCAGGTAATACTGCCTTTTTAACCTTCATGATTCAAGTATATTACAGAGAAGGCATGCACCCTTTCAAATTCATAATTAACCAAAAGATGCATAAGCTAATCTTCAGTCGAAAAAATCACAGTCACAAATAATTTTGAAACCAAAACAAAAATCGGGATCTTTGAGGACAGCAGGAATGCTGGCTTGGTTTACAGAGCAACACCAGAACACAGAACAATTTCAAACAAAATATTGATAATGTATGTTACGTCTATTAGAGATTCCAGAAAATAACGCTAATTGTAAAGAATACCTCTTTAACTAGGCAGTAAGAACATAAATCTTCTCTCGGAAGTGAAAATAGTTGTTACCATTCAGGAGAAGAAACTTAAGATGTTTCCTGCGAGTTCGGGGTTCCTCTTGGGAGAAAGCAGCAGCCTGTCATTGCCACCATGAGCGCCACCCTGCAGATCACAGTTCACAGTTTTTAATTTATACTTTGTAAATGTAGCTTCCATAATTTGCACCAAATCATGGACAAAAACTTGAAAATTATTATTCAATGAAAAATGAGCTATCATATCACATCTACTGTTGTTCCCCTATCCACTAGAATAGTTAAAATATGGTGGAATACAGGGGGAATGACGAGCTGATAACACAATTTTCATTACACTTGATTTGACAGTGTTAGAGCAAGAGCACAATACACACATAAACTGCTTTAAAACAAAAACAAAATGGAAAAATAAAGAGAGATAGGAAGTAAGACAAAAAATACACTTGGAAGCTGAGGCTAGGTACGAGATTCATTACCCACAGTCCTAAAACCACAAAGGATAGCTTTTGCTAAACAACAAATTCTAGGAAAAATTATGACTTTTAGTCTGGATTAAACGTGGATAATGGAGCTGAACAGATTGCTCATACTAAATACTATTTCTACGCGTAAGTCGTGTTGTGACATATGTTGAACCAAGGTATCATACAATTACATAGGTATAGGATACAGGTATGATTTTACAATGTTCACAAATTTAGCGAACTGCCAATTTTTGAATTCAAGGTGAACTAGCTCTGCTCACTAGAAATAGTACATGCACATACATACAATGTACATGTACCCAAGTTTTAAACTAATACTAGAAAATGTATGTCATTCAACAAAACAGCCCTTTTAAATCCGCTAGGATGAATTTTCACAATCAAGTTTATATGTATCTGTCAAACTGAATTCCTTAACATTCTGTCTGGTAAAAAAAGAAGAAAAAAAAGAAAATAAGGGTTTAAAGGGGAAGTAAACAACTCTACTCTGTAAAACCAAAACAAAAAAAATCTCAATTAAACGCTTGTGAAAAGGAGTTCAGACAATGAGAAAGGAATTAGTATTGAGTGGTAACAAACATGCTACACAATCTAGCCTCACACGAAACAAGCGGTAGTTGGCTTGCTTCCAATAATTATAACTTCACTTTCTAGGATTCATGAATTAAGGCGCACGTCTGAATTCCGAATTAAGCCTGTTATAGCCACACTAATAATGAAGAAAAAAAAAGAAAACTTGCAAGAGAAGTGCAAAAAGCATTGAACTCAAGACACCTAAACACATAATGGAATGGAGGATGCTTTTAAGTATGGACAGCAGTATCCAGTCAAGCAGAAATCCAACCAATACTTAATGAAAAAAAAAAAAGAGGTGCCAGAAATAAAAACGTTATTCTATAATTAGCTTCAAACAGGACAGGATTGAACACAATCTCTGCTTACCTCCTGGCCGTTTGAAATCAAGTTAAAACAAAAAAAGAAATCTAGCTTTAGCAATGCATCACATTTTCAGCCACACACAGACACGCACACTGACACACAAAGAGCTCACCTTCTGTCTTGCACTCCGTCGCAATCGCACTCTTGCACACCCAAGGCATCCAAGGCAAGGCACCGCACACAGCACGCAGCTTCCAAACCAAGGCAGCAACTCGCTAGGCCTTTATCTTCATTTCAGCGAGTTTCAAAAGGGCATGTAAAGAATTGTGTTTCTGGGAAATGCAGGTGTAAATAATTAAGATATTTTGAGAAAAACACAACAAACTCTGTCCAAGAAAAGGTAAGACACGTGATATCATCAAGGAAGTTAGGTAAATCAAGAGAGTTTGAGTATTTTAGGAAGAAGAGGGAATGGAAAGATCCATTGGAAGTTGTTCAAAAACTTATGTGTCAAGAGTGTTGTAAGTGTTGGTTTGCCTGGCTGGCCTGCGGCTCATACCTGTGACAGGCTGCATTATTGAATCAACCGCTTGGTCAGATAAATAATGAGCTATGGACTACAAACCCCAAAATGTTTCGATAACTTTACTGACCTTCATGTTTGTTTAATTCTCTTGAAACATGGGTTCACCACTCTATTTTTCTCCCCCCACTACAATTATGTCCAATAATGCAGCCTGCACACCTTTCACACTCGGCAAACAGTCAGATGAGTATAATCTCACTTGGTTTCACTTGCAAATTCTACTCAGGCACACAATCACATAGCATTCACTCTCAAGAATGACCTGCCAAGAAGCTAGAGGTACGCACGCTAAAAGGACAAACTGCATTTAAGTAAAGGTAACAAGGCTATAAGAAAAATTATAGCTGCAATGAAACTGTTGGAATACATTTTGAAACCTTAAAAAGCAAAACAAAATTTGCTGTACCAAATTCTAGAATGTGCAAATAAGTCCCAAGCACAGAAGTGAAATATAAGGTTCCATTCCTATCTGACAAGAACAACAATTAAAACTTGTTTTATGCTTTTATTTTCTTTATATGAACACACATAAACCATCAGAACAGTTAAAAATGAAAAAAAAAGTAAAAAAATGAAATTACTATGTCCAGTACATGCTCACTAAACTTAATTTTTAATAATTAAATTTCATAGTTCCCATTTGTACTGTTTGATGGTTTTCATTCCACACCAAAAACAAAATAATTGACACACACTTCTCAGACTGTAACAGAACACTCACACCAAGCACACGGAAGGAAGAAATTCAATTCTCGCACATCTCAGGCACACTGAATAGTTATGGTACCAAAAGGAGCAACACGCACAACACCACAAAACACTTTTCCCAATCCACCTCTAGGACGAAATGTGGGAATTTGTCAATGAATGAAAACAATTCAACATGAAAGTCTATACACACTCACACACACTCGCACACAAAGAAAAACAAAATTGAAAACTATGAGAAGCTCCTATTGGTACCACAACTTTAATTGGTCAACAGGGCTTTCACAACTTGCTCCCAATAAGTTACACGGCACTCTGAATTTCTTTCCATCCGTAATATAGTAATATTCATAGTAACAAAGCTCAACAATATGCACACTTCCTGATTTGTTGACATGCCAGGACAGACATGGGCAGGGCATACAAGTTCTCTTTAACACATACACACATTATCTCACTAATGAGGAAGTGATAATTCATTTCTATACAATAATAATAAGACTTTGAACCAGATCATACTGTAAGCAATGAAAAATAAACTTTGACTGAAAACTAACAAATTTATCGCTTGAAGGGTCATAATACATGATTTAGATCCCTACACAAACAAAAGAAGAAATCATACAGTGTTACGAAGCACGATGCTTTAAGAAAGCAACGAAATTGAAGAACCACACAATACTGCTGCAGGCAAAGAACGACAACGCATATGACTCAGAAATAGAAGCTCTACTATGTTTACTTCTTTGTGAAGTCGCTCCACCCCACCCATGCACACACATTTAACAATTAATAGCTTGCAAATTGCCCGTCTGGCAACTAATCTGTTTGAGCCTACAGATCGATATATGTACATAGTATATTCTCAAAAACTCCACGACAGCAAGGAGTCTAAGAAAGAAAAATAATAAAACAAAGAACAACACAATTTCTAAGAGAAACGCACTTGACTTTTCTTTTACATGTACACCTCAGTTCTTGCTGGGCACCACACGATCGCAGTGGAGGGGCCCGAGGGTGGACCCGGGGAGGGGCCCGAGCCCGAGGCGTGGCCCGAGGCGGGGCCCATGGGGATGGGGTGGCCCTGGTGGCCCGGGGCGGAGCCAACACCTGTGCCCAGCTGCACGCACACACCTGGACCTGGACCCCACCATGGAGCCCAGGCTTGCTCTCACACGTCGTATTTTAGGTAATTCTGTTGTTTACTCTCCCATTGGGTCCTCGAACCTTGAGGTTGAGGTCCGTTCGTTCCCGGGCCCCCGCCACCCTGACCCGCGTCCCCTGCCCCTCCCCCGCCCCCGCCCCCTTGACTCATCCAGCTGAGAAACCCCCCACCAGCTGCCCCTGCCCCCGCGGGGGGAGCCCCTGCCTGTTGGGGCCCGCCAGGCGGACCGCCCCCAAACCCCGCCCCGCCCTGGTTGGGCCCCACAAACCCCTGCTGCCCCTGGTCCCCCGCCGGCTGCCCCTGGTTGCCCTGGAGGGAGCCAATGAGACCCCAGCCAGCCTGGTTGAGCGCGGCGGCCATCAGAGCGGTGTTCATGGGCATGGCGCCGAGGTTCAGCGCCGCCCCCATGCCTAAAGGGTTGTTCATGTTCTGACCCTGCCCCTGGCCGCCCCCAGGGCCGCCCCCCTGGCCGCCGATGCCCAGCGCCTGCAGGTTGGGCATGTCGATGGAGCCCCTGTTGTGGCCGCCCTGGTTCCAGCCGCCAGGACCCATGTTGCCCCCGCCGTGGCCGTGGCCATGACCGTGGCCGTGGTGGTGCTGCTGGTAGTGGTTCCCTCCCATTGGCCGGCCCATGTTGTGGTCGCGACCGCCGCCGCCGCCTCTGCTGCCACCGTACGACCGGCCGCCGTTGAGTTCGCTCTTGGGTGCAGCCTCGGACACGTGGACAGAGATGCCCTTTATGATGTGGTCCTCGCCGCACAGGCCCATGGCGATCTCGGGGTCGAGGAACGTGACAAAGGCAAACGCCCGGAACGGCTTGGGGATGAAAACATCCGTCACCTCACCAAACTTGGAGAAATACTCACGCAAGTCATCTTGCTGGAGGTCCTCTGTGCAACGGCCCACAAACACTTTGCATGGCACCTGCATCATCTGGCCGTCCTGGAAAAATGACAACAAAACCACCACGTCAAGCTCTACGGTCTACATCATCAATGCTGATGGGGCTCATGCATTGTACCATTATGAGAAAGTTTGAACAACTACTTAACCACTTCAAATAAAGAGAGAAAAAAACAAAGAAACGATAAAAATCTGAACATTGAAAGGTGCTGGACCTACAAATGTCCTAGCTTTGGGTGCAAACAATATTCCCCAATGCCAACACTGTACCAGGTAAAGATACAAATGTTCAGTCTACTTGGAAAAATAACATGCAATGGAAAATGCCTTCATGCAATCATAGGCATCTTCCAGTCACTCAACCCGGTAACAAATATGCTAAAAGTGAAGCTTATGTGAGTTTTATAAACTTTTAATGTAGACCATGAAGGATGGTGATAGAAATATTCCACATCTATAGTCAAAGTTCACCTTGAGAAAAGAGGAGCTTTGTAGATAATGTAAGAAGAAACAATTTGAAGCATAAAGACATAGGAATTTCAAACATATATGTGGATGATAATTTTACAATTAAGTAACTAGAAGAAGTAAAAATAAACAAAAAACCAGCATCCTTAACAAGCAAACTTGTGTAATCTTAAACCGACTATGCCCCACATCCTGTGTTTTTTAGTTGAGAAATTGAGTGACCAAATGAAATGATTAATGATGATAATGTGAAATCAACACACATCACTTAGGCAAAGACACTATCTTGGTTTCACAAATCCCAACAAGAAACAAAATATTTAAAACATTTCCTTTCCAGGTTTATTTATTTCAGACCCCTTCCATTTTTTTTTTAGCAGATTCTTAGCTGCTAACCTTGATTATACAAATAAAAGAAACTCACAGCAATTGTGCTTAGTCACTGGAATAAGCAATTCAACAATAAACATACACACTGCAATCATATTTTGGGGGTGCATAACCTAAGAACTAAAACATAAACAACATCCAGTAGAGTGTAGCACCACATATGCAACAATCATTCTCTGCACTAGAGCACTCCTTACATCCAAGGCATAAAGGCACATCTTCATTCTTTTGAATATTGTCAGTAACGTGACTGGATTACTGGAATTGAATCTGTCACAGATCTTCCTGGTGGGTAATAATATGTTCTGTCCAAAGGTGAACGAGAGCGAGATCTATCTTTGAAAGTTGCAACACTTTTCCTGAAATATTTTGGACAAACAGGAGGTGGTGAAGCACGCTCATGGCGGCTTGAACCAAGACTTGAGCTCTTACTCCTGTGATGTGAGCTTCTGTGTCTTTGACCATCACGGTCAGAATAGCGATCTGGAGATTGGTGCCGATTATAATGATAGGAGTCATAAACATCCCGAGGTGGATTATATTGTCTACTAGAGTAATATGGAGAATACGGAGACGGAGATCGACCATGGTTCACAGCATCATAGTGGGAGTATGCAGACACGTTGTAAGGCTTATCATAAACTTGAAGAGAATCCTCTCGGGTCATTGATCTTTCATAAGATGGTTTGTTATAATACGGATCTACAGGTCCATCGTAACTCGAGGATGGTCGATAATTGCCAACAGAGCTGTAGCGAGTCACTGAAGTGAAGTTGGTTGATGGAGCTTGCATGGCCCAGTCTCTATCAGAATCAGACTTAAAGGCCCCAGGACGCTGACCGCCATCAGTGGCCTGCAAAGAAACATCGACCCCACCATCAGTGAGGCCCACACTAGCGCTCCTCTTGCTTGTAATAGCATCAAGAATTATGACACCGCACACAAACAGAATAAATACACCATACCAAGCCAAGTACCATACAGTAGCATCCAACACACACATACAGTACTCCCGCACATACATACATTCAAAGTACAATCAATAAACTTACATTTCTTAATATGTTCCTGATTAGAAGCTCGCACGCACTTGATGCATCAGTCCCTCTCTCTCACACGCTCTGCCTCGCTCACACACACAAGCACACCCATTCTCACATGCAGAAGTCATTCCATCACACCTCTTTCAATCACTTGCATACAGAAACAATAAGGTTATAAGGTTTCGATCAAAAAATTATGTTCAATGAGAGGAATGAGAAATAAGTTTAGAAAAGCTTGACTGCACTTGTCAATGTATTTCTCAGCTTCAGCCGAAAGGAAACAATATCCTCTGCAGGCCAAGAAAACTCACCAAATTGCAAATTCATTCTTGTACCACACCCACTAGAAATAAAACTGTGTCCAAGTTTGGGGTCTTAAATACTTCTCGAGCTGGGTTAATGAAGTGCAAGCTAAATGAGGTATTTAACTAATCTTAAGAAAAATAGCTTATGGTGTTTTCACCCAACAAGGAAAAGGGGCAGCATATTCAAAGCCTCATGTTGAATGAATGAAGACCATGAAGTCCACATACAGCTCAGCTGACTCATTGACATGACCCATGCCTCTTGTCCATACCAAACATAATATATAATAACAATTCCTCGCAGTACAAATTTGGTCTTCAAACACTCAATCACACACACTGGAGACACAAAAACCACACCCTACCAACAGAATAAGAAGAAAACGGAGGTGGGGATTATACTCTTCTCAACACACTTTATCTAGAATCTAATAAAAATTGACTGCCCCTTCTAGAACTCAACGTAAAATAAACATGGAATGTAAGAATTGCTCACCATTCACACAAGCTTCACACAAACATCAGCCACAACAACCACATAGATATCACGTCATTTTGATAAGCCAGCATATTGGCTTTTCTTCATTGATGATGTGGCAAGTGTTGCCCATGGGCGTCACACAAACAGTCACACTCAAAGCAACTATCAAACTTCTCACCAAATATCAGCATGCAAATCACACATCGGCACTCAAATACTCAGCCCCATAAAATCAAATTATAAAACTAAAAGATAAATAAAACATAATTTTCACTATTTGAAACTTAAACAATCTCGTGACAAGAATAAAACAATCTTAATACTGAAGACAAGAATTTCAGAGGGAAATTAAGCACAGTTTAATTATTTCAATCTTTAAAGATCTGTCTTTGAAAAATATATGGCAATGCATGATCAAAATGATGGCTTATATTATTTGAGTACCAAAATTGGTAAAACAGAATAAAGAATGTGAAAAATAAAAGTAAAGGCAAGCTGGAAACCATCACCTATGAGACAGAAATGGAAACCTATCTAGATGATCAATTATAATAAATCCTTCCTTTAAACTATAACAAACAAAAAATATACTAAATAGAATTTTAAGGTCCGAGATTTCCCAAAAAATGAATGAACCCACAACATGTCTGAGAGCAGTGCAATGAAATGCACTAGAATGGATTCAATCAGAATAAAGGCGATTTGATATTGATGCAGGACATACCTTTGAGTTGGGAACCTTCACATCACACCATCTTCCGTCAATCATGTGCCTCTGAGCAAGAACTCGGATCTGGGCATCATAGCTTCCAAATCGAATAAATCCAAAACCTTTCGACTGTCCAGTCTTGGGATCTTTCTTAACCTAAAGCGAACATTATTGTTGTCAGTCAATATTGGACAATAATGGCATTCTTGGAGTGTGTGAGTGTGGCATACACTTACCTGAGCCATTAAAACTTCTCCAAATGATTCAAAATATTCACGTAGTTGCTGCTCAGAAGTTTTCCACGGTAGTCCCAAAACAATCAAATCAGAACACTTCATTTTGGTTTCCATTCGTTTTGTCTTTGGTGTAGAATTTTCCAAATGGTCATCAGACTTCCTCTTGTTTTCTGTAACAAGATGACAAAAGAAATAGTAATTTTACCAATTGATCAAAACAAATTGTCAGGAAATACAGAGAGGAAACACAAGAGGATCTGCTAGAAATTTTAAAACCGAATATTAAGTTCAAAACTGGTTCAAAACGCTATTTTAACAATCAAACAACAATATTTCGAGCATCAGGGAAAATAAGAGGTCCCAAAATAATACAAGCCACTAGAGGTGAAGTTCGCAGGTTGACAGTGTAAAAGGAGTACCTGCAGGAATCGGACAAAACCGCACAGCGCTTTCAGCGTCTACAATGATTGCAGGCAGACGAGGGCACAAAATAAATACAACAAAACTGGGAAAGGCCGAAGGCGGCCGAGAGTACATTTAATAGGCCTAACCCTGCGGCGGCCATTGCTAGAGAGTCGCCGCATGAACCCTAGGGAAAGGAACGAACTACGAGGTGTATATCGGTCAACTTACCCTTGGGGAAGACACAAAAGTAAACATTGTTCCCCCAGTTGCCATCGGGAGCGTGTAACCGGCCATCTACGAGGCGAACTCCTCGCATACGCGACTCGGGATTGCGGTACTTCAATCCACAAGTCCCTGGAAACTGGGCCGCCAATGTCGTCAGAAGCAGGGTACCGTCCTCTTCGGTGGGTAGCTCTATGGGTTCTTCATTTTCGTCTTCCGCCACTTGCAAATACGAACTCATGTTTTGTTTTCTCCGTCACCAGACGCTCTTTATTTACACTTATTTTATCCCTAGCCACAGACGAAAGATGGAGACTTCGCACAAACAACGAAGCCCACTTGGGGACGGAAAAGGAAGTGCACTCGCATGGAATCATGGGTATTGATTTCCATTCTTTTTGTTTTTCTTGTTGTGAAGTCGAAACGTCAAAACCATGGTAAAAATTGATCTGTAATGAGTGTCTTCGTACTTCGTGATTAGAAAGAATATAGTGGTTTCCCAATATAAAAAAGAATGAGAAAAAAGACCCTGCTCTCTGCTGCTTAGGCAGCTGCACAGCCGCTGCAGCTCTATAGCTTTCCCTTGTTTATTCAGAGGGTCGGCCTAATGAGTGTAAGTTGGGGTACCCGTGGCGCCACCATGCGGCGGTGCTAAGAAGCTCTGTAGCCAACCTACTAAACATTAAGACACACTAAGAATTGAGATGTTTGAAAAAAATTGAGACGTTTTGAGCTGCAGAATTTTTTTTGCCTTTTTTCTGACAATTATTAAGCCATTCTCTAGTCACATTTGAGTTGTTTATTTTGCTAATTTGAGGAAACGTAAGAACAAAATGATTGTGTGTGAAGTTTGGCAGCGGGCCCCGAGCAGACGAAAATAACCCTACTTAACGTACGAATTGTCAAGCAATTATTCGATCGAGGCAACAGTATTTTTTGTAAATGTGGTATTGTCAAGACCGGCGATAACATACTTCGTCATATTTCAAATAAATAACTTAGTGAACAAGCCTGACTTTTGTCACAGCCATGGTCACAAATACCATAAACAACACCCCGCTCACGGGACAGCTTCCTAGCCCCTCCGCATGGTGGCGTCGTGTCGTCCCCTGCGAGTGTAGGCACAAAGCAGGCTCGTACCGACCCTCTGAATGGCTTTCAGTTTTCAATGTTTGATGGCCTACGAACCTTTGGCTCTTGTAGTCCAGGGTTTTAAATATAGGTAAGGCAGAGGGCAGACTCGACGTTGTGGTGGTGTGGTGGCGGTTGTGTAGTCTGTCTTTTCTCGAATTTTCGGGTCAAAACAAATCAACTGAGCAAAACAACAACTAAAAAATCTCATCTCTGCACATGGTGAGTATTTATTGTGAAGGTTTCATTTTGTTTCGTAGTGGTTAGCTGTATTTTGATCACTTTATTTTGTTGAGCTGCACCAAGCTGAGGTTATGTTTTCGTATGTTTCAGGCAAGCAGCATGGGAAAAAAGCACTTGGAGAAAAAGGCAACTTCTGCTAATGTAGAAGTTCCTTCAAAATCGATTGAGAAGCTTGCTATCAAAGTGACCAAAAAGAAAAGAAGATTCAGAGGCAAGAAAAAGTCGAGTTCTGATCAACCTACCGATCAACTGAAGAAAGCTCTTGCCAATTTCAAACCACCTAAAGACTCTATATCCAATAACTGGCAGGCATTCTTAGCCTCAGGCTTACCTCATTCCGACAAAAGAAATAAGAAGAAAACGAGTGAACTCAAGCCTGGTTCACATGCAAGCGAAAGTTGCAAATCAAACCAAAATATTGCTGTCCTCAGGAAACGTGAAAAAGTTAAATCATTTCCGACTACAGAAACCAAGCCTCTGGTCCTGGTAGACGAAACAGATGACGCCTATATCAGTGAACTTATTCCCAAGTCTGATGGAGAGCGAGAGTTGACAAAATGTATAGCTATTGATTGTGAAATGGTTGGTGTCGATGATGGCCGAGACAGTGTCCTTGCCAGAGTTTCTTTAGTCAATCAACATGGAGAATGCCTCTATGATCGATTTGTAAAACCAAAAGAGAAGGTTGTTGATTATCGTACCCATGTAAGTGGTGTGAGGCCTTCTGACCTCAAGAGAGGAGAAGAATTTGACACTGTTCAAAAAGATGTTGCTAATATCATTAAAGGTAGAATTTTGGTTGGTCATGCCATTAGAAACGACCTCAAAGTGTTAATGATAAGTCATCCCGCAAAGATGATACGGGATACGTCAAGATTCAAACCATTCAGAAATTTAAATCAAGGACGTACTCCAGGTTTAAAAAAATTAGCATCAGAAATTCTTGGTGTCAATATTCAGTCAGGTGAACACAGCTCAGTTGAAGATGCCAAGGCAACAATGCAGCTCTACAACTTGTATCAAAAAGAATGGGAAGGTTACAGGCAGCAAAAAAGGGGTGAGTTTTCTTAGTGTTGCTATGTCTCATTCATAAGTACCATTATCATTAACATACTTTTTAATAATTTTTTCCTACCTTTTCAGAGTTAAGAAAGAAAAATGCCAAGATCGCTGAGAAGCTCACCAAGCCATTACCCAAGAAGAAGGAAGCTGCAGATTCTTCTAAATTACCCGATGAATTTGTTGCATTCTGAATCGTAGGCGCTGTGCAGATACAGAAAAACACTTCCGGTCGTTGACTTATTGTTTTGTTTATAAAGTTATTTCTTTAATAAAATGAATATTGAAATCTCATGTCAACAAAATTTCTTTGCTCTGCACGTTGTTGGTTATAGCTTACCCATGAAACCAAACCATCGGTTTAGTCATGGAGTCACAGATGGTTTAGTTGATTGTCTGGGGATCTCCCGAATCACAATTTGGACTCCCCTCCCTCGCCAATCGCTCCTCCAATCAGAGCAAAGTTTCTATGAGCTTGATATTTTTCATAGTGTAGCTCATCATGAATTTTTCATACCACGTCTGTCAGTCTCAAAATCAACGTGGGTGATTGGGGTTAGGTTAGTTGTGTTTCTAGTTTTTGGGGTGGCCGTAATTATGAGCAAATTTGATCGTCGTGAGGATTCTCCGGAGTCCTCTTCTGAATCTGAAGAAGAAGTTGGAGAAGGAACGCTTGTCCCTGATCGTAAACCTGAACGCATCAGTTTGATCAAAAACAAAGATGTTCGCAAGGCCAAATTTGCCAAGGCGAAGGAGGCGAAAACAAGGGTATTTATTTGTTTCTTTCGATTTTATTTGGTGTGAAATTATGATTTTAGATTATTACTCGAGCTTTCCCACATGCTTTTCAATTTTCAGTTTCGACCGATGTAGACTAACCTTAAGTCCTGTTTGCACTTATCTTGTCTGTTTATTTTTTTACAGAAAAAGAAGGCTTTGAAGAAAAAGCGAGAGAAAGAAGGAGTCGAAAAGCAAGTTCCACACACTATTGAATCATTGAGGGTTCCAGATGAAACAACAATTAATATCACAGAGGAGAAACAGCTTGAAACAGAGAAAGATCATGAACTTGATGAACTCAGCACATACTTTAGCCGGGAGGTAGAGCCCAAAGTGCTCATCACATACTGTGACAATCCTCACAAGGTAACATTTAATTGAACTTATCTTATCAATTTTGAAGAAGTGTGTCACAATGTTTATGTCTTTGTAAAATATTGTTTGTATTTTAGAGAACTCGTATATTTGGAAGAGAGCTCACCAGGATAATTCCCAACTCTCTCTCCCTGTACCGGAATCGGTCTGGAGCAAAGAAGATAATGCAGAGCGCCATTAAGGAAGGATTCACTGATGTCATCATTATTAATGAAGATATGAGCAAGCCCAGTATCCTTTTCTTGCTACCTAACTTATAGTCAGGGTCAAAATTGCAATTTTCTTGCAGTATTCAAACTCCTTAACTTAATTCTTAAGATGGCCTTCTTTTGACACATTTACCAAATGGCCCCACTGCGCATTTTCGCCTCAGTAATGTCAAAATTACTCCAGAACTAAGGGTAAGGTACCAAAGAGTTTGTGAATTAATTTTGAATTGACAAGTTGCTATATATTTGATTTCCTGTTCTCCCCCTAGCGCAACTACAAAGAAATAGGTAATTGTAGGCCAGAGGTCATTCTGAATAACTTCACCACTCGCCTTGGCCTCACGGTGAGCAGAATGCTGGCTTCCTTGTTTCACTACGACCCTGAATTTAAAGGACGTCGCGCTGTTACCTTCCACAACCAGAGAGACTATATATTTTTCAGACATCATAGGTTTGTCTCACTGTTTCCTGAAGCATCTCTACCTTTATCCACCCCACCTAAGTGCTCCTCTGATGTTATTTTATCTCTTGCTTTCCAGATATCAGTTCAGAAATGAAAAGAGAGCTGCACTAAGAGAACTAGGTCCTCGTTTCACAATGAAGCTAAGATCTCTGCAGCATGGATTATTTGACAGCAAATCTGGTGAATATGAATGGACTGCCGAGGGCCGCAGGCATGAAATTGAGACTAGCCGTCGCAAGTTCTTCTTATAATTTTGTCACCTCAATGTATTGCTTCCATCACTGATAATGGTGGAAATTCTCATATCGCAAGAAAAATTAAATATGTCTTCTACACACATCTTTCTTTAATTCTTTGAAATGATTATTATCAGATACATTGGTAATTTACACACTTAAAATTTATCCACAAGTTGAAGGATATGCTGTTGCTCTAGTTCTCGCCACTCTTTGTCTCCTGCATCACCTAGATTTCCAGCATATTCTGAAAAACAAAGTTAAGAAAACGATTGAATTTGTTAAACAACCAAAACACAGCAAATTTAAATCACATACTTCTATAGTCCTACCTCTCATGACATGTCGAATTGTTTTAACTGATTTTCCACGAAGATTCAAAATTTGAAGGACTCTCTGTTTGACAGTGGAGGCAGCACCCATACAAGCCTCTAGAATGATGAAATCAACCAACTGCAGAGTGAACAGGCCACCCTCGAGCCTTCGTAAATAATTTGCATCTTCTTCATCTGAATCTTCTCCTTCCCCAAGGTCCTGAAGAAAAGAAGATAAGACAAATTATTCACCAAGTTTTAACACTATGGATATCATTGGATCATGTTCAACATACTCTTCTTTCATCTTCAATAAGCTGATCAACTTGCTCGACTTTTTCTAAATATTTGAAATGGAGTTCCATTAATCGATCAACTTTTTCATGATCATTTTCTGTGAACTTATTAAGAAGCCTTTGTCTTTGAGGGCCCCTGCAATTCCGTAGCATTGTGGCTATTATGGACACAACATGTTCTGAAACGACAAATTGTCCATTATTCAATAAAAATTACTGATAAATATACTACAACAAAAGCTGAACATAGGTGAATTCTGACCCTCATGTTCTTCTGTTGTTAAGATACGCTTTCTATTCTTCTTTGGTGTTTTCATGAAAAGAGGGAAAATAGTACGAAGACCAAGGATGTCAACAAACTTGTTGCAGTTCTCTCTGCCTTCTGGACCAGACATAGCATGATCAAGAACTTTTAAAGATCCATTACGTGACAATTTCTTCTCCCTGTAAGATGACGATCAATAATAATAATAAATACTACTTAATTTTATCAATGAGGTACTAAAACCAAGAAAAATGCAAATGTGCCAGGACCTTAGCATGAGGTTCATTAGCTGCAGTCCTTCACCCCGAAGAAATCGCTCACGATTTGGTGCATACATCAGACAAGAACAGAGGCAATTGAAAAGATTCTCCATCATTTCATGTTCCTCACTGGATGAAGGATCATGCCGCTTGTAAAACTGAAACAGAATAATTGCCATCAGTCCGCAATTCAGGCAGTGGTGTCCTGCAATTTGCACTTGAAGCTGTCTTACAGCAAGTTGTTGCAGAATGACATCAATGCCATCCATATCCCCAATCATTTGTCGATTCTCTGGAGTGTTTTGAAGGAGTATTGACAGAATTTCACTAGCATAGAGTTTGTTATTGTCAAAGGGGGCCTTGACTCGAAGTCGACGCATCAGCCATTGCAATAAACCCTGTTTGGCCATATCTGCGCAAGCCTCAGGACGTAGCTCTGTGATATTTTCAAACACAGCTGAAATATGAATCAAACCAACAAATATAAGAAACCAATAGGAGGAGTAAAACACATATTACAACTGATGTTATTAACTATACAAACCAAGTGTGTTATGGATTCCATCACTCTCCTCTTTCACAGAATCATCCAAGCGCTCCAAATTTGCAACCAACAGAGGGCAAATTTGCTGGGATATGAGAGCTTCCATAAGAGCATCAGCACCATCTTTACTTTCATGCAAAATATCCACATCGGTCAGTTCCTAGATATACAATAAATACAATAAAACAAGAGGATTAACTCAAATGTTATAATAATTATTTGTTTCACCTTCCTATTGGAGGCTAGAGGGTGGGAGGCCTCAGGATAGAAATAAAATAATAATTTGAAATAAGAAGCGATTTTACCTGAAGCAAATCAACCACAGCCACAGAAATGTCAGTGTTTTCATGTGAGAGAAGCTCCAGTAATGATGGTATAGCATTAAGTTCCACCATGAGAGGGTAGAGATCTGGGACTGTTGCTAATGCATGAAGCTCCACTATGCAGTCATTAAGCTCCACTTCTGATTCCATAAACCTGGAAGTAATAACATCATAACAAACCTAATAGAAACAATGGGACAGAAGTTTTCATTACTTAATTGGGACTCACTTCTCTGGCATTTCAGGAAACTTGATTCTCATTTCCTGGTTTTTAAGGGCTTTCTTTTCAAACTGAAGTATCATTCTCTTCATAGCAGCTTCATCTAGCACTTCACCCTGAAAATTTTTTTAAAAAAAGAAGCAGGCAAGTTTTACATTATATAGACAAAAAACGAATAAAAACACGATGTGTAATCAGGAAATTGGGCAAACCTCTGTTGACTCAACGCTGTCCACAATTTGTTGAACTTTCTCACGTTCTTCTTCCTCAGCCTTTTTGGCAGCAGAAGATATCTGCTCTATCTCTTGTTTTATTCTTTCAACCTTTGCTTTCTGGTCACGTTCTCTGTTTCTTGAGCTGCTGCTTGCATGGGTTCTTCTGTGCTTACGATGTCTTTCATACTCAGCGTCATCATCATCTTCATTTCTCTCGCCTTCATTAGGCCTTTTGGGGGTAGGTGCTGGCTAGGGATTGTATGGTAAGGCATCTATTAGAATTTTGCAACTATTCTTAATTGTAAGTTAAGAGGTAAGCAGAGGAATGTTTGTGAATGGAGGCAAAATTTCAGTGCCTCAACACAGGAGAAATGCTGAATTCTAAAATCAAACCTTGTAGGTGAGAAGTTCTCCGATATCCATTGTAATGAACCGTGAAATGAGATACTTCACTAATAATCAGTCCGTAAACTTCGTAAAAATCGACCAACTTGGATACCGGATTATCAAAATTCTAACCACAATAGTGAACGACAACAACTAAAAACAACAAGAAATGAAACAACAACAGCAACAAATCCCGGCACAATGACCAACATAAAAAGAAAACTTGATAAGTGTGAAGATCGTGCTAGAAAATTTTTACTTTTGTGGGGAAAATCATTATTTTAAAAAGATTTTAAATTATGACTTTCTTTTGCTTCTGAGAAATATTAGGCATGGTTACCGTGGTTCATAGTCCATGTTGTAGTGTTGGCTACATCTAAATCTGGAAGATTGTTTCCGTGAAGAAGGCGTTTTTTCCAGATCCTAGCAGAAAGCATTGGTGTAAAGACATAAAGCTACTGTCAAAGTTAACAACCAAAAAAGTGAAACAAAATGAGATATCGAGTGTTTTTGCAGTACTTTGTTTTAAAAGTGAAGTCTCAACCTATGTGAGACTCATCATCTCCAGGTAAGCGACCTTCATCCCTCAAACTATGTTTTCTATCACTAATTGACAAGATAGACTTGCCATTAGGAAAGAGTCAGGAAACATTGTGTTTGTTTATGTTACTTCATGTGTGTTCTTGTCTCATTTACCTCTCTTTTTCAAACAAAAAAAATGTCATGGGAAAAGTTTACTTTTGTTTGGTCTGGTGCACATTCCTCTTCCCCTTGTGAATATTGCACAAGGAAGCACAATATTTTAAATTCTTTAAATACTGTTTTCCCCATGTTTTCCACTTGAGGCAGTTAAGCAATTGGTACTATCTCAGGCACGTGACTTTCTTTGAACACTCCTTATTTGAACTCTCTCTACTGTTCTACTTCTTATTGTGCTGGCTGGCTGTTATCAGCTGACCTAACCTAATTGAATGTTTCGGTGGAAGTGTATCTGTGGACTTTTTCTTGCCCACAGGTCTTGTCAACGTCTAACTCTTCTGTGCACAATTCACATGTGGGCAATACATGATTACCACTCTACCCAGAAGAAGAAAATTGCATCTGGAATTAAAATTTGATGGGTGAGTTTCTTTTGCTTCAGTAGACGGGTTTAGTAATATATATCTGATGAAAATTGATCGGCAAGAGTAACTGATGTGTTTAACATGATATTTCTTAGTGTAAAAATTGTACAATGACAGGTGTTTTTGTTATCTTACCATGGCAACAAATCATGCTAGTTCAAATATGTTTTAAATATGTGACGATACGTTGTTTGCATCTTTTGACAGGCTTCTATGTTAAGGAAGCAACGTTTCTTTTCCAGCTCTATTCATTGTGATCATTTTGTAATTCATTTGGGTATTTCCTTAAACCTGAAACACTTTATCAATTTAACCCACAGTTAAGGCCTAGATGAAGTGAGTGAAGTGGCCTCCCTAAAACTCAAGTCGTCATCAAAATTGAAAAGAAAACTGTCTTGTTCTTCTCTCTTTTTTAAAATGAGGGCAGACTTTTATTGGGGTGTCAATATCGTGGCTCATTTTGAAAATACTGTACAAAATGACAAAAAAATGGGGAAGAAAACTTGAATTGAGCATTAAAATTCGTGTCCACCGAGACGACCTTCGTTTTAGTGTGGCATTGGCCGTTTTCCTTTTCACCGCCTAGTATACGTGTTGCCCCGCACCTGCAAGCCATGCTGCAAGCCAGCAAGCCGCCAGCACCAGCCTCCTCATATTTATTCAAGCGCTCGCTTTCCTCCCGTTCACCTCCTGCCGACGACACTTTTGCCGCCTCACAGTCTACAGTGGGCCAGAAGACCGGCGGAGGCGGCCAAAATTCTTGACGCGTTTTGAGCCCCAGAGTCGCTAAATGGGACTCGAACCGAACGTGTGACCCCACCAATGGATTGCTCTCCGAACGAGGAATCCATTGGTGGGGTCATACGTTCGGTCCGAGTCCTGTCTAGCGACTCTGGGGCTCAAAACGCGTCGAGAATTTTGGCCACCTCCGCCGGTGGCCCACTGTGCAGCCTCACACCGCGTACCGCCTGGCTGCGCGTAGCTACGCCGCGGCGGCACTCGCTGGCCGCGCTGGCTGCGTTGGGTCTGGTCTCTGCCTGAAATGGCCGAAATGGCCGAAATGGCCGACCTGCATGGGACGGGACCGGTGGCCGTGGTGCTTCCCACCTGGCCGCCTTCTGCTTCTGACCGCGTCGATGTGTTCCCTTCCCAGTGGGCGCGGGCGGCGCGGGCAGCGCGGGTGGAAGGGGTAGCGGCCCCACGCGGGCAGGCCGTGCGGGCTGTGCGGGCGCCCCAACCCCCTGTGGCGCCATGGCGGCCGAATCGGCGCTGCATGGAACCAGGAGGAACAGGAGGTCGTTTCGAGATTGCCAAGATCCAACGCGCGGCCGGTTGTTCGTCGCGGAGCTCGGTCGCAGGAACGAGCCGCGCGCCACCAGGACTTCCAGGACCTCCAGGACCTCCAGGACGATGAGGCGCGCCAAAGGTAGCCACCGCCTCGGACGAGGTCTCGGAGGGCGGGCCGCGGCGCCACGCCTGCATGACGCCAGGGCCTCGTCTTCTGCATGCTCTGCCGTTCCCTCCGCCCCGCCGCGTCGTGCGTTCCACTAACGGACTAACCTCGAACCCAACAACTACCCTTCCGGCCGGGCCGGGTCGCCGAGGCTTCCAGGGGGAGCGGGTGCCCTACCCCCAGCCCGCTGCATCGTTTGCGTTTCGACTTGTGTTGTTTGAGTAGAAAGCTAAACTTCCACCTTCCCGAATGGCAGCTAGCGTCGGTGCAGGTGTCACTACCACGGTGCATGGAGTTGTCCCGGATTGTGCCTAACCATGAACTAACCCTGCAGGCCCGCCAGGCGGGGCGCCGCCTAACTGACCGAGACAGCACACTAACTGCATGGCGGTGAGGGGCGCGCATGCCGGCGACCTGCCTGGAGTGCTGCCTGGACCTGATCTGACACTTGTTTGGGCCCCGCGAGCCAACTTTCAGTACCTGTAGTAGAACTTGCTCGTTTGCAACGGAGATGCGTCTGTGCCGGAAGGGTTGACTATCTCGCGCCGTTCTCCAGGGAACTCCTTTGCATGCAGCGCGAAGCCGCTTGCTGGGAGTTTGCCCTGGTGATAGGCCGAGATGCAGCCCTGCCTCCGCGGATGCATCGTAAGGAATGTGTTTGTCCACTGACCTGCCAGCACTGAAGGAGCCACACCTTCACCGTTTGCAGCATGACTGAGTGTGAGTGTTTGACAGCATGGTGTTTTCAGCATTCTAACGCGTGTTGTGGTTTGTAGTTTGGTAAAACCTGTTGAAAACAATATTCGGCATACCTTTCCGCCTGTGTAGGTTTGATATCTTGAGTGAAATACTTCCTTGGGCGGAGGGGTTGTCCTTTCCGTGCCTTGTTTCGACCCAGAAGCCGTCCAGCGCCGCCAGACTTGAGATTGGATTATTGGCGTCAAGCTCACTGATAGCGCGCCGTCCTCCCCTGCGGCCTGTGGCTCACCCCTTCCCCTCCCGCCGTTGGGGGTGGAGGGGCCGGGTCGGCGGCGGGCCGTCCGTCCGCCACGCTCACTGTTTGTGTCGCAGTGCTGAAGATGCTGGCCATGGAGCAGCCCGGCGCGTCGCAGGGCGCCCCGTGCGCGCAGGGCGGCAGGACCGCCCCCGGCGCGGCCGACCCCGTGGAGGACTTCCTGACGACGGGCCGCACGGGCCGACGCAACGCCATGGCCAACATCATGGGCCAGCACGCCAACACCGGCAGCGGGGACATCGCGCAGCGCATGGACGGCCTGGCCATCGACCAGATGGGTGAGTGGGTGATACGCGGGTTCGGTTCCCGGCCGCGGCGCCGCGTTTTGCGTTTTTATTTTTTTCGCACTCGTGTAGTGGCGACCGCAGTGTTGCGCAGGGCTGGGCCCCGGCTGGGCCCCGGCTGGGGCCCGGCTGGGGCGCGCTACAGGCCCTGCAGGGGGTGGCCGGCCTGGCCGGGCGGAGGCCGATCGTGCCAACTGCAGCGCGTGTCCTGTGCTACTCTGCGGTCGGCAGCGTCACGTCCGGGACGTGGGACGTGCGGGGGTGGGGGTGGGGGTGAAATCCTCTTCGCAGGCCGGGCCTGTCCCAGCGCCTAGAGCCCCTTGGCTGATTGGGCTCTGCGTGGCTCTGCGTGAGCGGGCGGCTTCATTGGGGCCATTCCTCTGTTATCCCGGACAGCGTCTTGAACCAATTGTTTTTCTGGTTTGCAGAAGCCGGGCCCTCCGGCGCGGGGCCTTCGGGGTGCAGCGAGACGCAGCAGGCGACGCCCGGCGCGGCGCCGGAGCAGGGCAGATGAACGCCGCGACGCCGGCCTAGCTGCGCTCGCTGCGCTGGCTGCCCGCCCCGGGGCAGCGGGTGGCTGCACCAAGCACGCTTCTGATTGGCTGCAGCCCGAACCTGCCGGACGGACGGACTGCTGGAGCGGTTGCTGGAACCCGAAAGCCTCCCTCTCCTGGAACGCCCCGATGCCCGCTGCAACTCTGCTGGGCTGAGTCGCCGTGCGTGGGAGTTGACGCGGTGGGGCTGGCGGGGCACGCCCTCCTGTTGACCCCACTTGACCCATCGGACTGAAAATGACGCAGCCCTGCCGGGCCGCCGGGCCGCACAAGCATCCCCGAGATAGCAGTGGGGCAGCGCAGCGGCCCGTCTGCCGGAGATTGATTCCCTAATTTGCTGGCAATTTCCGGGGGCCATGGCCGCGGCCGTCGTCCGAGGTCGTTTCGGTCGTTTTGCCAGCAACGTGATTATTTGGACTGGCGGACCATCGCCGAGAGGAAACTTAGTTTTAAGTGAAATAACCAACAATATACGGGTCCATCTGCATCTCGTCGCCACGCCAGTGTTACTCTGCGGTCGTCGTTTTGGACACTCTTTGCCAATATTTGAAAGAAAACTGAGGCCGAAAACGGGCGGGAGGTCGTGTTCCTTGTGCGAGCGTGGTCTCGTGTAGGTTGACGACCAAGCCTGTCTTGGTGAGAAGAAATCTGGGTGCAGGAAGACCCCAGGAAACGCTTACAGTGTACGTAGTGGCCATGGCTGTTCCACAGAAACTGGGGCGAGCAAGAGCAGGGCAAGCAGGGCCATCGTGGAAGTTCGCGCTCCACGCGGCTGGAGAGAAAGCGTTATCTTGGACAACCTATTCCTCGCACTGCACTTATGACTTTTGTCAACTCGTTGAGTAGTTTGAGGGGTTTGGCTTGCGAGCGTGGTGGCAGGGCTGCTTACGCTCGCGTTCGCCGCGCAAGCAATGCAAGTCGAACCCACACGTTTGTTGAACGTTGTCCTTTGTAACTGATCCCTGAACATTTTGTACCTCGTTGTATTCTATTTCCCGGTGATATAATGTAATCTCGCGGTGGCCACGCGGTGGCCGTGTAGTCGTAGTACATGGATGGACTGTGATTGTTATTTACTAATTGTTATTTTTATTGTGTACCTTCTTCTTTTTTGTCGTGTTTGAATGCTTATGTGACGCTTCTTGCGCTAATCTATTGCGTGGACAGCACTTACTCAGGATCTCACTGAGGGTTTTAGTCAATGGTACGACAACAGTCTGACTTTTGAATTTTTGTTTTTGTTCCCCTTTTTTAAATGACTATGTACCTCGGTACTACGTACTACGTCTCGCTATCTTGCCATGTAGGGTGTGTACCGATTGTTATGTACTTAGATATAGTGTCGTGGGCCATTTGTATGTACGCAAAGCATCCAGGTCGTTGGGTATAGCAGGCACCAAACCCGGTTTATTATAAAACCTTTGTATTTTTGCTCCTTTAGCAATCTTTCTATCCTATGGATTTTTAGGAACTGTTTTGAGTGGAATTTTCGCAAAGTCATTCTTTGACAATTTCTCTTATTTGGACGCCCTCTCTCTTTATTCATGCCAATGAGAATCAAAAGCACAACGCGTTTCACCTCAAGCGCTTTGTACCGTGGATCGTCAATTTTGAACAAATTATGTGTATATTTTCTTATTTCACTAGAACCTGACTATTTTTTATGTAACATGCCATCGCGGCGCTTTTGTCGTGTTTCCCCTCCTGCTGGTAGAATCCTTTAATTTTACCAAAATGAATGGGAGAGAGAGGGAGATATAACCCACAGTACAAAATGACAATTAATCTAGACAAACCTGTGCATCACATTAATTGATAGACGTGTTTGTATTGCAATCCTAGGTTTTACGGGCCATCTATTAAAAGTGTACTTTCTTAGTGTTTCAATTATTGTGGGTGTATCAATGGAGCCCCGAAGCAATGTTTGTAAGTGATAGTTTTTCACGATGATTGTGGCAAAACGAGGTGTTTTTTTTTTGGAAGTGTATTCGAACCTGTGACGGACGACCTTAGTAATAAAGCGAGTTAAAGAAAATCTTGCTTTCTTATTTTCCTCGCCATTAGAAGGTCCTTTAAGAATCTCGCGTTGGCGTAATGCGTTTGTATTGATTTCTCATGAGGAAATCCGTCCTCTGACGGCTGCTGGACCCTCAAGCATCGCGAGCCGGCTCCGCGTTGCTTCGCAGCGTGCCGGCACTGATAAAGTAGTCAGTCTGTGGACCGGCGGTCGAGCGGCGGAGCGGCGGGAAAAGGGGTGGGGGAAACATACATTATCGACAGTGAGCGCGGGTACGGGCCTTACGAGCTGCACAGTCCGGCTGCGGTGCGTGAGACGAGAAGAGCTCCGTGATCCTGGTTTGCCGGACTCCTCGCAAACAAAGTGAACCAAGCCAGCCTCACGTCAAGGTCTCCTTGGGTCCCCTTGCCCGGCGCCAGCAGCGCTAGCAGCGCCAGCATGAGTGAGTGTAGCGCCAGGACGACGGCGGAAGGGTCACGTCGTCGAAAGAAACCTGTTTTGGTTATTTATTTCTTCCCCGCTTAAAAATCAATGATGACTTACCGGCGACTGACGAGTATGGACTAAAGACTCAGAGACATGACATGACCCGTCTGTGACGCACACTCTTGCGTACGACACGCGAGCAGACCGCCGGCAGGAGGAAGTTGCGCTAATTTCTTTTCGGCATGGGCGCCACTGTCCCGGAGCCTCGAAACTGACCTCTCCCTCTATCTCCTCCCTCTCTCTCCCTCTCTCTCCTCCCTCTCTCTCCCTCCCCGTCGATTAGGTTGCTTGATGCCGGACCAGCCAGCCGGTTCCAACTTTATCAGTGAGGGCAGCCAGTCGGGGCAGCCAGCCCTTCGTCCTAGGCCATCGCCGGCCTCGAACGGCGCAACTCAAACAAGCATGTCACATGCGACTTTCCGCGCACACGCGATATGTCCTCAGTACGCTTCTGTTTGTGGCTCCGAAGTTGTGGCCAGACAAGAATGCAATGAATGCGTATCCCATTACGTATCCCTTGAGCTGCGAGCTACCGAGATTTCATCATTTTATTATGTGACAACAAGTGACGATCAATTTTGTTGGCAGAAATGGCAGTGGGCGCACCGTCCCTGCTCGCCGCCCTCCTTTGCGTCGCGGCGGTGGCGGGCGTGGCGGGCGTGGCGGGCGACGAGGACGCGGACAGTACCAGGGCGCCGCCGACGGTCACCATCTCGACGGGGGCCTTGTCCGGCAAGTGGCTGACGACGAGGGACGGGCGCGACATCGCCGCCTTCCTGGGCATACCGTACGCCGCGCCGCCCGTCGGCCCACTTCGCTTTAAGGTATTTAACGGATGCATTAGGTTCGGAAGGGAGGGGCGGAACTCTGAGACTGGCAGGGAGGGTCGCCACTTCGCTGAGTGCTGTTCAAAATAAAAACGAGGGAATCAACGAGGAGATAAAAATGTCGCTGAAAGTTTGGCGGGTAAAGCCGAGTCCCCGAGTGAAGGAAGGCAGGGCGAGGTAAATCCATCTCTGACCTTTTCCAGGAGCCGCAGCCCGCGCAGCCCTGGTCCGGGGTGCGGCAGGCGGCGAGCCCGAGCGACGTGTGCATCCAGAGGAACGTGTACTTCCACCAGGAGGAAATCGTGGGGTCCGAGGACTGCCTGTACATCAACGTGCACGTGCCGGAGGTGGGCAAACACAGCGGCAGCACACTGGGGGACCTACGTAGGGCGGCATCGCGGCGCCAGGGCAAAAAATATGCAAATAAAGACATGCTTTGTCCTAATGAACATGCTGTTGCACAGGGAGTGTCCCACGCAGAGCCGCTGCCCGTGCTTTTCTTCATCCACGGCGGCGGCTGGCTGAGCGGCGCGGGCTTCCTCTACGGGCCGGAGTACCTCCTCGACAAGGACGTGGTGCTGGTCACCTTCAACTACCGGCTGGGCCCACTCGGTAACTTAAAATTAAAACCCGGCAAATCGAAACAACTGGTTGTCTTGATCTTTTCGCGACCTTTTGTCGTTGTCCGTTGCAGGCTTCCTCAGCACTGGCGACGCGGCGGTCCCCGGCAACAACGGCCTGAAGGACATGGTGCACGCCCTGCGCTGGGTCCAGGACAACATCCGGCCGTTCGGCGGCGACCCCAACAGCGTCACGGTGGCCGGCCAGAGCGCCGGGGCTGCCAGCTCCCATCTCATGACGCTCTCACCGCTCGCTAAAGGTCGCCAGACGCTCCAGGAGCTCCCTTCCGGAAGGCGCCTCGTCGCGCTGTCTCTCTCGCACCCCTACGCATCGCCCACGAGTGAGAGGGAGGCAGAGCGACGCGGCACCGTCTCGGAAGCAGCCCGCAGGCTCTTACTAATTGATTGCCTGACCTTCCGACTTGACTATTGATTTGCCGCTACGCCGCGCGGGGCGGCGCGGCCGGAGTATCGGCGCGGTGCTGACGGCATGCTGACGGTGCTCTGACGGTGTGGTCCGGCAGGTCTGTTCCACCGCGCCTTCCTCATGAGCGGCAACGCCTTCACCACGTGGGCCTTCCACTCGCCGCTCGACGCGCGCCGCCAGGCCCGCGTGCTGGCCAAGCACACCCAGTGCCCCGACGCGCCCAGCGACGCGCTGCTGCAGTGCCTGCGCGCCAAGGAGGCCGAGGACATCGTGTCGGTGGACGAGCGCTTCATGCGCTGGGACATCCACCCGCACATGCCGTTCAAGGCCACCGTGGAGGTGGGCGGCGGTGAGGGCGCCTTCATGGACGTGCACCCGCGGCAGGCGTACGGCCTGGACGACCGGCTCAACGACGTGCCCGTCCTCACGGGGCTCACGGCGCAGGACGGCGGCGTGCTCGTGGCCGGTGGGTACACTGCAAAATAAATGATATGGACGGACTAGCCAGGACTAGTTTCGAATCTATACGGCAAGGAGAATAGAGCCTCCGTACCTCCGTACCAATTTCCGGGCAAGGAAAGGGGAGCTGAACAAGTCTGGTCTATCATTGTCCTGGAAAGTGCAAGTGCGTCGGTTTTCTTTTTCAGTGTACGTCTTGGATATCTCTCTGCACCACTAGTGGCTTGTTGCAGTGCTCCTGGATAACGACACCGCCCTGATGGACCTCAACGAGAACTTCGACTTCATCATGAACAGCATCATCAACTTTGACAGCTACCCCGTGCCCATGCGGGAGGAGACCCTGGAGCGGGTGCGCCGCTTCTACTTCGGCGAGGGCCCCATCGACAGGAGCGCCGCCTTCAACCTCATCGACGTGAGTACCCCTCGCCTCGCTTCACGGCCCCTGCGCGCGCGGGGTATCCCCGGCGGGGTATCCCCGGCGGGGTATCCCCGGCGCGCCGCCTCCCCCCAGATGGCAGCACCGGGCGGCGCGCCGGCACAGTGCGAGCAGCGCGGCCGGCTCATAATACGATTCCGTGTTGGCAGATGGCGACCGACCTGGCCTTCCTGTACCCCACCATGCAGCTCATCAAGATGCAGAAGAAGTACGGCAAAGCCCCTGTGTACTTCTACGAGTTCGCCCACATGAGCCAGATCCACCGCAGCTTCGTCGTGCTGTTCGGAGCGCAGTCCCCCGACTTCGGTGAGCGCATGCAGCGCATGCTTGGCGCCGTCACGCGTTGGCGGGACGCTCGGCTCAGTCGCATTTTTGAACCCGCCGATGTCGCGGGCGTCGAAAGACACCTCCGTGGAAGGCGTTCGCGAACTTCACCCTTCGTCTCGTCGTTGGTTGTGTACGCACGGCCCGACCTGCCGAGCGATTCCGCACACCGTCGCTCTGTCTCTCTCGCACTCGTGGGCCGCCCCGGAGGGGTGCGAGAGAGACAGAGCGACGAAACGCTGAACGGAATCAGTCTTCTGGCCGGAAGGGGCGGGGAGGGAGGCACTGCCCGTCACCGGCTGCCCTGGCTGCCCTGGCTGCCCTGCGGACGTGGAGATATGCAGCTGGACCGAACTGCCGCTGTCTACCTGGCAGACAATCAAGGCCTGGAGACCCAGGCCTGGCCGTGGGGTGCAACTTGGACCGTCGAAGGCCTCCCACGGTGGGCCAGAAGACCGCCGGCAGCGGTCAAAGCTCTAGACGCGTTTTCTCCAGGTCTCTAAACAGGACTCGAACCGAGCGATTCCTCGTTCGGAGAGCAATTCATTGGTGGGGCCACACGTTTGGTTCGAGTCCCATGCAGCAACTCTAGAGCTCAAAACGCGTCTGGAGTTTCTGGTGCCTCCACTAGCGCCTGCAGACGAGTGCATGCAGGCCCGCGGCACGGCGCTGCAGGCCGTGTGGCCTACCCTCGCTCGTCGGGCGCTCGGCTCGGAGCTCACCCATCCGCGTGAACAACCAGTCCGTCGCGCTGTCTCTCTCGCACCCACGCGACGCACCCCGAGTGCGACAGAGTCGCAGCGACTCCTTTTACAGCTCTCGCTTGAAACTCTGTCTCCTTTTCGGCCGCAGGGGTGTGCCACAGCGACGACCTCCTGTACCTGTTCCCGTTGGACGCCATCCCGTTCCCGGAGCAGCCTGGCACGGATGACGTCTTCGTCTCGCGGAAGTTCGTGGACTACGTGGTGCACTTCATGCGCACGGGGTGAGAACAAGGATTCGCCTCGACGTGGAGCAGGGCATGGAGCTCAACCCGTCGCGTCGGCATCGCGCATCACGGCCCGAAAAGGGCGTCCTTGACTTTGCAAAGTGATCTTGACGCTACCATCGCACGGTGGGCCAGAAGACCGGCGCAAGTGGCAAAAACTCCAGACGTGTTTTGAGCTCCAGAGTCGCTAAATGGGCCACAAACCAAATGTGTGACCCCACCAATGGATTTCTCGTTCGGAGAGCAATCCTGGCGTGGTCACACGTTCGTTTCGAGTCCCATTTAGCGACTATGGAGCTCACGTGTCTGGAGTTTAATCCGCTTGCGCCGGTCTTCTGGCCCACTGTGCATCGTCAGCAACACTGCAAAAATCAAGGACGCTCATTTTCACAGTGCCCTTGTTCTTGTCTTTCTTCCGGGTCCTGTTGAATAACTGTTGACTGGTCTGACAGCAAGCCGACGGCGGACCGCTCCTGGCAGGAGGTGGCCCACCCGGACGCCGCCGAGTACATGCACATCGGCTCCCCGGGGGACATCCAGATGCGGGCGAACTTGGCACCGGACCGCATGCGGCTGTGGTCCGAGGTGCCCATCCAGATCGGGAGGATGTCCGTGCCGCACGACGAGCTGTGAGGCGCCGGTGTTTACTGTGATAATAAAAAAAGTTGTTGTTTTTATTGGCCTTTCTTTCTTGTTCATCAACTTCCCCGAAGCTGACACACGTAGTTCTCGGCGACATTATTCATGACCGTTATCCAGTAAACTCCCTCTCCACTAGATCAAGGTCCGTTTCTGCCCTAAATAGTCTACTTTTTTCGGAAAGTTTGAAGCAAGAGTGGCCGAAACGCCGCGGTGTCATGATGCATGTCGTGAAATTTCCTCCGTCTTTCCGCCTTGACGGTTTTGCAAATTGGGTCGTCCTACCTGCCATGAACGGTATGGTGGTTGTGGTGGCGGCAGAGGAAGTGGAGGGGAAAAAGGGGTGGGGGAGGGGGGGGGGGTCGGCGCTTGACTGTTCGCAGCGTGGCGCCTCACACGCATATAGGAGTACAGTGAAAACGCCCTTTTTCTTTTTTTGTTGGCAGCGCCGCGCATCTTCCAGGCAAGTTGTGAACAATGCGTTTCCTCCCGCCGTGACAGATAGGTGGCCTCGTTTGAGCGGTCTGCCTGTCTGTCTGTCTGCCTGTCTGTCCGTCTGCCTGTCCGCCTGTCCGCCCTCGTCGAATTTGGCCCGCGGCGGCAACTGCAATACCCCAAGTGGGCCGTGCCGATCTCTACCCCCACCCCTCCCCCTCCCATACCCCCCTCCCCTCCCCCTCCCCCCACTCCTCCCCGGGTCGAGGGGTGGAGACGGAAGAAGATCTCAGTGCCCCACTCATACCAGACGACTCCCGTCCGTTGGCCGGGCTGGTGTCCGTAAGGGAAGAACTTGTTGCAAACCAAAGTGTGAAAATTAATTTTAAAACTTATAATTGTACAAGTTCTGACTCGGGCGTAACTTATATGCGGGGAGGTCAGGCTGGCCCGGGGTTTGCACCCCTGGTCGGCGGCGGGGCACGGCAGGGCACGGCACAGCGAGGCAGGGCGAGGCAGGGCGAGGCAGGGCGAGGCAGGGCGAGGCAGGGCGAGGCAGGGCGAGGCAGGGCGAGGCCGGGGAAGGCCAGGCGGCGTACCCAGGGGCCTCGGGGCGTGGCGGCGTGGCCGGCGTGGCTCTCTGGGCGTCCGTCTTCCATCGAGGGGCTCGCCCGGCCAAGCGCCTTCGGTGTAAAGTGGATTTTGACGCCGCGTTCCCGAGTCGGGAGAGAATGCACCCTGCCCCGGTCAAGCCGCCACTCTCCAGATATTGATATAAACGGGAAAGAGGAGAGGAGAGGTCAAGGTCTACCGAGACCACACCTGCTGGGAGATGTCTCAAAGTAGCACGGCGAAAAAGCACGGAAGTCAATCAGAGCGAAAACAAACTCCGACTCGATTCCGCGGACGCGAACCTCCGCACAGAACGCAAAAAGTAAAGAAACCTGTTAGGCAGCGGGGTTTGCAAAAAGCATGACGGAGGCTCGGTGTGTGATGAAGTGTTTCGTTTTATTGCTGTAGCATAAAGGCGGCAGCCTGACAGCCCCCAGTGTCGCCAGACGCCCCCTCCCCCCTCCCCCTCTGCGCCTCACGATGTGCGCAAACAATCCCGGCGGCACCCCTAGCGACGCGGCGCGGGCCGCGCTGCGCCAGAACGGCCTGGATCCTGGATGGCCCGGGACATGCAGCCAGCAGACTAGATTCCGAGAGTCGTTTTCGTCGCTCTGCCTCTCTCGCACCCACGCGGGACGCCCCATGAGTGCGAGAGAGACAGAGCGACGAAAGCGACTCTCGGAATGCGTCCGCCGGGCCTGGCAGGGCCCCGGAGCGAGTCCGACGCCTCACTTTTATTTCCAGGAATTCCCCGGGCCGCCGCTATCTGCGATGCTGCGCCTCCCCGGCAGTATGGGAACGGCGGGGAGGGTTGGCGGGAACGGGAAGGGTTGGCGCTCGGCCGGACGGCCGCTAGCCTCGCGCATGCCTCGCAGCGCGGCCCGCGTTCGGGGTTTTGCATGGCAAAGGCTCAGGTAAAGGCACACGAATCGGCGGCATGTTTAAGAATCCCGGGCCGAGCTGGTGAAGCAGCCAGCCGCGAGGCGAGGCGAGCGCATTCCTCTCGAGGGACTCTCGGTCTCAGATATGTGGCTGCTGCCGTGCAGGGCGGTCCGGGCCGGTCCGGGGGCCGCGTCGCGAGTCTTAGCTCTCCCCTCTCGAAGACCCACTCGGATGCCTTCGCCGCTTCCCGATGTTTTACGTCCACCGCGCGCCTCGGAAAAAGGAAGGGGGGGGGATCGTCTCCGCGGGGGGCAGCGCGGTATGGCGGCGCCTCGGTCTGATTGAAAACGCGCTGGCAGCGTTCCGCGGCGTTCCGTGCCGGAGACGCGGCGGCGGCGTCGCGGGGCGTCGAGGGGCGTCGCGGGGGGCCGCGGGGTCGCGAGCCACCACAGAATGGACAAGAGGGCCTGCGGGGTCGCGGCGGGATTCTTTCCTTGAAATGTGATGAGGGATGGGGGCTGATACACACACACACACACAGTCAGGCAGTCTCTCTCTGTCTCTGTCTCTGTCTCTCTCTCTCTCTCTCTCTCTCTCTCTCTCTCTCTCTCTCTCTCTCTCTCTCTCTCTCTCTCTCTCTCTCTCTCTCTCTCTCTCACACACACACACACTCGTAGCTCGTTACTCAAACAGTGCCACTACCCCGGCGCTCCATCACGGGGCGCACTTTTGTCTGCCTTCAGCCTTCTCGCCTCGGCTCGACCCTTGGCGCCTCGGTCGGCGCGGCGGCCTACTCTGCCCCGCGCCGTGCTGGAGGCCGTGCTGCCCCCACGGCCCGGCCCACGGCCCGGCCGGCTGCGAAGGAGCGAACCGCTATCCCATCTTCATAATTAAAACGATGCAAATTGAGACGAACTGTTCCAATTCGGGACGGCAAGTTCGGCGCCGGCAGCGCGGCAGCGCGGCGGCGATCGAATTTATATTCTATTCTTTTCGGCTCCGCCGGCCGGGGTCCCCCCGGGTCCCCCGGTCCGGAGCCACCTTTGAAGTCAAGAGATTCCAACGCGGCCAAAGGCCAAAGAAAAGGAAGGGACCCAGCCGTGGCGGCGGGGCGCGGGGCGCACGCTAGTCGCGGGGAGCGTGTCAGCCAGCCGGCAGACGCGGCCTGCCTCGGCCTGCCTCGCTTAGACTCGCTGCCTGCCGTATTTGCATGATTCGAGGAAAAGGAACCGACCGGCTGCGGTGCGCTGCGCTAGACCCTCCACGGGGATGGACCGGTCCACCCAGTACCGCCTGCAACGCCAACGGCAGCAGTCTGATTCCGAGAGTCGTCGCTCTGTCTCTCTCGCACTCATGGGGCGCCAGGCCTTCCGTGGACCCGGCCTTCCGTGGGCGTGGACCAGGCCGCCGTGCGCGGCAAGGCAAGGAAGGACACTTCTTGCGGCGAGAGGAGGCCGGCAGAAAAAGTGCAGGGCACGGCTGGGCAGCGTGATGCGTGATGAACGGGACTTTGTCCGCCACGCCACGCCACGCAAACTCCAACCGGGCGACTAAAAAAGCCGTACGAGGCGGGGGCGGGCTTACAAGGGATGTAACCTCCTTCTCCCCCAGTCCCCCTCCCCTCACACACATGGTCAGAGAAAATGTAAATTAGTTCCACTTTTCAACTAGGATGTCCCAGTTTTGATTCAAATTTGATTCAAACCTGTGAACTGCTCTACACACACGCCACTGCTAAAGAGAGCGTCCTCGTCGCTGGTAGACCAACCCCTGCCGGCAAAGCAGCACTGCTGGGCTCTCGAGGGGCCTTTCTTCCCCTCCCAGCATTTCTTTCCATTTTTACACGCAACGCGGCCCTCCCAGTGTGATTTAAACTGTTCTTCAAACACACACACACACACAGACACACTCACGTGCGAAGTTCGGAGTAGCGTTGGCGGGTTGGTTCACCCACCACCGACCTGGCACAGCTTGGCGTGGCGTGACGCGCCCAGCACACTGATTCCGAGAGTCGTTTTCGTCGCGCTGTCTCCCCCGCACTCATGGGTCGTCCCGTGTGGGTGCGGGAGGGACAGAGCGACGAAAACGACTCTCGGAATCAGTCTGCTGGGCGGACGACGAGACTGAGCGAAGGCTCCCCGGAGACGAGTGCCCGAACTAGGCCTGGCCGCGCCTGGATGGCGGCCATCTTCGCCACGCTCACGCGCCACGTTTGTTTCCCTTCCGCTACGTTCGTTTGACAGCAGTGATAAAAGCTATAAAGTTGAATCATGCTGTTAACGGGGTCGTAAAAATGGCTAGAGGGAGGAAGAGGCCAGTGTGAGTCATCAGGAAGCCAGACGGGTCCTTCCTTCGGCCAAGGCCGGTTTTCCGCCTTCTTTTTTTTTTTTTTTTTTTTGAGGCGGGTAGAGTGTTATTTCAGGCTAAACTTAATTATTTTCACGCAGATGTTTTTTGTAACAAAAGAACAAAGTGCCTTGCGTTTAGACGCGAGTTCATGAAAACAAGTTCACTATGACCTGTTTCGCCAGACAACAATTGGTTCACTGCGCAGTTTCTGGATGACATTTGTTGGAATGTCCAAGCATTCACTCATACTCTGAGCTATATACCTCACGTCTGCACGCGGTGCGGGACTGTGCTTCCTCACGATGGAAAATTTGCTTACAAACTAGTTACTACGCTAACCTAGGTCGCCACCGCGAGCGTGCGGCGGCTCGGCGCGCGCAGCGCCATCTCGCGGCGACTCGCGGAACCTCGTCCGCGCGCGAGGCTAGTTTGAGCGGTGACAGTTGCTTCCGGTTCGTTGGGTTCCGGACACTACACTCGAAGTCCAGTGCTCTGTTCACAGTGTGCGCGCTCGGGTGCCGGTGGCTGAAAAGCTGTGAATCCTAAGCACATCAAACTGCACTTTGACTTAGTTTGGCAGTGCCGCCTTTTTTTGGCGCTTCTTCTTTCACACCCCGGCAACTCTCCGCTCGGCGCGCCCTGCCCTGCCCTGCCCTGCCCTGCCGCGCCCTGCCCTGCCACGCCCTGCCCTGCCGCGCGGGGCCAGCAGTGCCTCGGGCCAGCGGCGTGCATCCCTCTCGCCCTTAGCCTCACATTTGTC